ATTACAATGATTAATTCCGGCAGAGAGAGGTAAATAGATGTTTTGTTTCTTTTTTTATTGTTTCTTAAATTGAAGTATAGCTTAGTATGTTAGTCACTGTGACAAAATACTTGAGAAACTCAACCTAAGAGTTGAAGAAAGATTTGTTTTGGTTCACGGTTGTTACAAATGCATACTCCCATGTCCGGCTTTTTTTTTTTTTCCAAACGAGAGTTCTTTGTTAAACTCAAATCCTCACACGTACAAGCACTTTCCCGACTGATGTATGTACTTAGCCATACCCAGCTCACTTTGAGACAGGATCTCACACAGCCCAGGCTAGCCTCAAAGTCTACGTAGCCAAGAATGACCTTGAAGCGATCCTCCTGCTTCAGCCTCATAAATGCTGGGATTACGGGTGTGTGCCAGCATGCCTGGTTTTATGCAGTGACTGGGATCAAATCCAGGGTTACATGCTTGCCAAGCAAGCACCCTACAAATGGAACTACAGCCTGAGCCCTCTTTATCAAAGGCCTCTGATTGACTAAGTTAATATCCTCATGATCCAATCTCCTCTTACCACAGCTGGGGACCACGCTTCCAACACATGAGCCTTTGGGGGAGGGGTATGTCATATACAGACTCTATCAGACAGGGTGAACGCCCAAACACATACCTGGGTGCATGGACCACGCCACCATTGAATGGGCACTCAGATGGCAGTTCTTCTGTCCCACCTCCCTCGGACATTCTGGTATTCCCTTCTTAGTTATTAACACCCTGTCTACCCAAGGCAGTCACTGCCACGCCTCTGTCACTACAAGGCTGGCTTTTACAGTTCTGAATTTTGAACAAATGAAATCATGCATTATAGACACTCTCGTGTCTAGGTTCTGTCAAATCGTGCCTGGGAGGTTCGGCGGCATTGGCCGGGCTATCGTTCATTTCCTTCACTTAGGCTGACGTCGCACCGGGTAAAGACACCAGCGGGGGCTGGGGAAATGGCTCAGTGGGTTAAAACACGTGCCGTGAAAGCCTGACGACTTGGGCTGGAGGCTTGAAACCCGTGGAGGATCTGGGCACAGTGATGGAAGCGTCTGTAATCCCAACACACCCTGAGAGATGGTGAGTAGAGCCAGGAGAGCCACCAGGAGCTCACAGCCAGCAAGCCTGCAGCCTGGAGCTGAGCCACCCTGCCTTTTGTTTTGTTTTTGTTTTTTGTTTTGTGACAGAGTCTCCTTGTGTAGCTCTGCCTGGCACAGAACTTCCTATGTAGACCAGGCTGGCCTTGAACTCACTTACCAAGCGCTGCCTCTTTCTGCCTTTCCATTGCTGTATACAAGCACATGTCGCCACACGGGGTTCACCTCTACCACTCTTGACAGGCGCATGGGTTGCTTCGGAGTTTTCGTTATTGGAAGGAAAGCCACTCAGAAGATTCTTTTTTAAAAGGTTTATTTGTGATTATGTGTATGTGTGTGAAGGGGGCAGGTATGTGCGTGTGGGTGCCGGGAACTGGACTCAGGTTCTCTGCAAGATCAATACGTGCTCTTCTTAACCACTGAGCATCTCTCTGGCCACTTGGAGGATTCTTGGACCCGCCATGTCATTACCTTAAGTGCTCATTTCCGTTGTAACTGTCCCCCAAGAGAGGAACAGGCATCATGGAGCACATGTATGTTTAGCATTCAGAGATAAGGCTCAGATCTCTTCCAGTGTATTCTACCATGTTAGGGTAGGGTCATCTTAATAGCTAATATCAGCAGAGGGAGGTGGGCAATCTTAATGATGTCATTGTGGTAGCCGCTCCCTGCCCACCTCCACTGAGGAAGCCGCAGGCCCTGCCTGTCTCTGCTGGCCAGGCCCCCCTCACCCTGGCCCAGGCTCGCTGTACCCGGAGCGTGTGAAGCTTTGTAGCTCTTTTCCATCATTCCTTATCAGTCACCAGAGCTGTCATTACAACATTGCCTTGCTGTGGGCAAGCCACAGCGTCCAAGATTATAGCTTATCTTCCATTGAGGCCTGTTCAACCGATGTCTTCCTTGTCAAGAGGCACCCCGGGCTTCCTGCAGACATCCATGCAGCCTTCTGGTCTTATCAGCAACCAGCATGCATGACATCTCTTGGTAGCTTGTTGCTTGATGAGGTTCCTGGAGACCCGGGCCAAAGATGCCTATCTCTTCTGTGTATGGTGACGTGCGTGCATTTTTATGGCACGGTGACAGTGACGGGCCCAGTCCCTGAAGTGTGGCGTGCATTTTATACGGACACTGTGCGCTGATTACAAAATCAATAGCAAGTTGAAAGACCTCAGAGATCATCAATCCACTTTCCTCCCACAGATGGGGGCACAGGCTCAGAGTGGTGACTCAAATTGTGCAAAGACACACAGCTTATCTTTGAATAACTGCTCAACCCCCGGGTTCATTCCTCTGTAATAGACATGCAGCCAGGATGGCCACCTGGACACTGTTTGCCTTGTTAGGCGTGGCCAGGGTCATGCCGAGTGGCCGTACCACAAGTTTTTCAGCCTATCTGGGGTTGATGGCACGTGCCTATCATCCCAGCACTTTGAAGGTGGAGGCAGGAGGATCAGTCAAGTTCATCCTTGCTGCAGAGTGTCCTGGAAGCCAGCCTGGGCTTGGTTGACACCCTGTTTCAAAGAGTTTCTTGAACCGCTGGCTGGTTGAGCTGCTGGCTGGTTGCCTTTTGGGACAGTGTTCTGGTTGCAACATTCTTGTCCCTTCAGTGATGACGGCGGGCCCTCCTTTGGAACACCTGGCAATTCTCTTTTCACTCATCATGTTCATGCCCCCACCAGGTAAGTTCTAGGAGTTGGCTGCATCCCCATTTCAGAGACACGTAAAGTAAGGCCCAGACATCACTGCTGTTCCTCCTTGGATGACATGCGATGTGGGACTCAGCTCCGGCCACTAGCATGGGTCTTCCTTGTGCTTTGAAGGGCAGATGCTGCTCCTCCATGGAGCCTCCTAGGATCCCCCTGCAGCTGCTACTGCTTTCCCCTCCCAGGACCACCCTTAGTAACCTCTCTTTGTGAATTCACCCCTCAACATGGGGCCTTGTGTAGGGACCACATTGAGGCCTACAGACCACTATCCTGAACCTGACAGACACAGTCTGATGTGTGTACACTCTGGATGCAGGATGCTGGAAGGCCCCAGATGGGATGCTCCCCACTTACCGCATCTGCTCCCCTAATCCCTGTACTCTCAGTCTTGAGCAAGCAGGTGTGAAGCTGTGGCCTGCCCCCCCCCTTTTCAGAGCTCAGACTCTGGTCAGGGGGTAGGGGACAGAGTGTGTTAGGAGGATGGGACTAGACTTTAATCAGTTTCTCCATGGGCCCCTCTAGCCCCACCCTTGGCTTATACCTCTGGACACTGGGTAGAAGGGGTCCACAGTCTTTTGAGGGCTCCTAGCCTCCTGTTAAAACTTCTGTCCCTTGGAGGAGAAGCTATGCGCAGCTTGGGGACAACGTGAACGGATGATCTGGTGCTGAGAGGGAGCTATGCTGAATTACCTTCTCTAAAAGCTGAGGCTGGAGGGGCTGGGGAGGTGCCTTAGTGGATAAAGCACGAGCTTTAATATGTAGGACTGGAATTCGGATGCACAGAACTCACGTAAATACCATGTGGGTGTGCGGTATACCATTCACCCTGGTGCTTGCTTGGAAGGGGGAAGAGCTGGATCTCCCAAGCAAGTTGGCTATCTAGTTAGCGCTCTGAGGAAGATCTGGGTTCACTTGAGAGCCTCTGACTCAATGAGTAGAATGGAGAGTGACCAAGGAAGACTCCTACCATCAACTTCAGGCCTCCACACACGTTTGCGCACACACGTTCACATATGTACTCACACACAAGCACCACACACACACACATATGCGAAACAAAATCTAGAAGGCAGAAGCTGAGAGGGTCAGAGTGAGTGGTGTGTAGGCATAGATTTGCTAGGCACGTGTGTGGTCTCAAGAGGAACCGAGATGGGCAGCCAAGCGGAGATGAGGTTTAGGAAGTTTAGCCTCAGCCTGTCTTTAGGGGGAGTCCGAAAGCCTGAGCAGCCACGATCACCCCTCCCTCTGAGTGTATGTGTGTGTGTGTGTGTGTGTGTGTGTGTGTGTGTGTGTGTGTGTACGTACGCACACATGCATGCTGGGTAATGGGTCACCTGCGTGCTGTGAGCCATTAGTGGCAGAGGGAGATGGGCACACCTGTCGTATTGTAGATCTGGACGTAGCACCAAGAGCACCCAAGACTGGGAGCCAAGCTAACAGCAACTGGCCACCCAGCCTGCAGTGTTTTCAGACTTGGGTGTCACAACCTGCGACCCAAGTCATGTCTGTCCACTGTCCTCAAAAAGCCAATTAAAAGAGACAAATCAATAGTAGGATGTAGAAAAAGATTTATTCAACATGGCCACATTGGGAAGAAGGACAGAGATCCAGTGAACCCCAAAAGTCCATCTTAGGGGGTCCTGAAATAAGACTAATGACATGCACATCCAAGCAGTCCCTGTGACGGTGCGGCCCCGCTCACCACTGACCCATCATCCCCTGGGCTTCGGTCTCTTCCTGTGAGGTGACTGTTGTTGGAATTATGTGAAACCTCTTGCTGGAGACAAAATCCTCTTCTTTCTGGTCCTTTTCCTTCTCCCATGATATTCCTGGGGAAAATTCCCATTCCTCAGGATCTTTTGTTTTAATAGTCTGATAGAATAGATTGAAAGACAGCATCTCTTTAGAATTTCTTCATTTCTGCCATGCCTGTTTCAGCAGAGTATTCAAAACACCCCCCACCCCACTGTCCTTCTCCCTCACTGAAAAGCAAATTTGGTGCCACCTCTTTCCCAAATCCTGAGGTCTCCTGACTCTGGCCTGGGCCCCGGGAAGAGCCCATCCTGGCCCAGTGTGGGTGAAGTCTGGACTCTCCCCAGACGCACTGAGAGGCAGTACCTAGCCCCTGAGCTCCCTGAGTCCTCCCTACCCCTCCTCTGTCCTCTCTCCACAGCCCCAGCCCAGGCCCAGATCGTGCACGCAGGGCAGGCCTGTGTGGTGAAGGAGGATAACATCAGTGAGCGGGTCTACACCATCCGGGAGAGCGACACCCTGGTGCTGCAGTGCCTAGTCACCGGGCACCCCCGGCCCCAGGTAAGCTGGGCCCCGGCCTTGCTGGGCTCCTGTCCTGCCCACACACTGTTGCCTGGGATCAGAGTCTGAGAGGAAGCAGGAGGTGAGGAACTACACTCCACAGGACTAGCAACAAGACAGGACAAGATAGACTGGGACCGGACGACTAGCCTGGAGATGGACTCTTTAGGGAAATGCTGGATGCTGAGGACAGCAGAGAGAGAAATGGAACGCCAGGTGTTCCATTCCACTCCATCCTCTGTGGAGCAGACACGTCTTTACACACACCCTCAAAAATGCTGGCGGGCAGACCGTATGCCAAGGAGGACCCTTGCCCAGTGTTCTCTCTCTCTCTCTGTGTCTCTGTGTCTCTGTGTCTCTGTGTCTCTGTCTCTGTCTCTGTCTCTCTCTGTCTCTCTGTCTCTGTCTCTCTCTCTCTCTCTCTCTCTCTCTCTCTCTCTCTCTCTCTCTCTGGCTCCTCCAAAGGCCTCATTTTACAGCTAAGAGAAAGCAAGGCCCTGGGAGTCTGGGCAAACTCCCAAGGTCCCACAACACTTCCAACAGCAGAAGCAGAGTCTGAGTCTAGAGGCTGCCCTCTCTCTGGCTTGGCACGCTGCCCTCCTCTTTGGGTGAGGAGCCGCAAGCGGCAGCACTTTGGGCTTTCGGCAGGCCAGAGCAAACTCTGGAGGTTCAAAGACACAAAGCAATTAGAAGGGGACAGAAGACAAGTGTCTGGAAATACCAGATGAGTTTTGCCATAGATCAAGTGCTCAGGTTCAGGCAGGAGGTAGGAGCTGGCTATTGCTGAAGGCTGGTGGAGGAGGCAGGTGGGGAAGGAGGGCTGGAGGAACTGGCCGCCTGGCGAGCTGCTGTGACCTTTAATACTTGAATAGCAGTAACAAAAGTGGCAATTGGATTCTAGGAAGGACGTTGAAATACAGAATCTTTTTTTTTTTCCTTCCCTGATAATTTGGGGGAACGGAGACCGCTTTCATAGCTTTGGCTTTGAGATAAGCAGATGTGCAAGGAAACCCCTAAAGATTTCTTCATCTAAAGCCTCCGTCACAGCTCACTCCTGCTCAAAGGTTTGTTTGGCATTGCCCACAGTGCAGCTGCGTTTCTGTGGACCTTGGTGTCACGTGCGGTGACGGCAGTGGGGATGTGGCCGGTGAGGCTAGGGAGGAAGCTGCCAGGCTACGCTGACCATCTGTGTATGTGTCCCATAGGTGACCACTGGAGGCCATGGCTGGGTGACAGGGTCTCAGGGGACCCAGACAGGCCTCAGATCTGCCACATAGACAAGGATAACTGAACTTCTGAGCTTCCTGCTTGTCCGTATGCCATGCTGGCATCACAGACATGAGTTACCACACCCAGTTTGTGCGGGGCTGGGGCTCGAACCCGGGCTTTGGTGCATGCTGAGCTAGGCAAGCACCCCCTGTCTTCCTGTTTTTGTTAATGGTTTCATTGCTCGCCCTGTCGGACAAGCTCGCATATTTGATTTTGCCTTGTCTCCTCCACAGTTGGCCAGACTCTTGTCTCCAGTCCTGTCCCTGGACCACTGTAGTAGATTGAAATTGATCTCCCAGGCTCTTTGCTTCCACTGGAATGAACACCCCCAAATCTGCTCCATTACCTCTCTCCCCCTAACTTAGCAACTACCAATGGCTCCCCACTGTTTACTCAAGCCCCTGGGGTGCAACTGGAGACTTTTTGTATCCTGGCCCCCACTTGCCCCTGCACACCCGTGTCCTGGCCATATGGGGCCCCTGTCATTCTCCAGATACGCCCTATCCATTCTGCTTCTGTCACTACGGTGTCCTCTCCCCAGCTGCCTCCTTCCCTGCCTGCTTCCTTACAGTGACACTGAGCATCTGTCATGTTCCAAACATAGTTGATGGGTGTCCAAGATGCTGGGGCACCTAACCATCGGGGGAGCAAGGAGTGAGCCTCAAGGCCCTTGCCTGCCAAGGTCGGGACAGAGGAGTGGGCAGACACAGAGCTCATGGGTTCAAAGAAGAAGCAAGAGCATGGGCGCGCTAGGGCCTGCGACCCAGAGGGAGTCTACACAGAAGGGGAAGCCGCAAACCCAAGTTTTTGTTGCCACTCAAGCAACCAGTGACTTGAGGATAAGTTGTTGGGCAGGGGGGAAGGGGTGATTTAGAGAGCTAGCCAGCTGAAAAAAGATGCAGGTCTAGGGATATAGCTCAGCAAATGGAACTCTTATCTAGCGTGGGCTCTGGGTTCTATCCCCAGTGCTACAAAATAAGGCGTGGAGGTGCACACCTATTAACCCAGAGCTTTGGAGATGGAGTCCAGAGGATCTGGAGTTCAAAGTCATCCTCGGGAATATATCAAGTTCATGGCCAGCCAGGGCTGTACCTGAGATCCTGTTCAAAAATAAAAAAGAGGCTCTCTCCAGGTGGTGATATCTGGCTTCTGTAGGGAGCTGTGGAACAGACAGATGGGAGCCAAGCAGTTTGAGTCCTCAGGGTGGTCACAGACTTTGGGTGCTCTGCCTTTCTGATGTGCAGATGCTGTCCACTATAGGCCCCCGGAATATTCTGGGTTCTTTAAATCTAAGCAAAAGTTATGAATGAGCAAGCCTCTGTTCTTTGTGCTTTTGGTTTGCTTTCCAAGGAATAATTAATCCTGTAGCTAATTACTAGGATACAAAAGTCTCCTCTGGGAACAAGAAGAAATGGAAAGCTGCTTTCCCCCAGAGTATGGGAGAAACAGAGAAAGGCATCTGAAGAACATTTGAGGGGGTGGGGGGGCAGTTTTAAAGCTGTCAGGTGTCATCTACTAGAAAGCCAGTGGAAGACACTGTATATTATATGGCCCAGCTGTGTGACCTCCCAAATTAGTGGGATTTTAAGTCAACTAAGAAGAACAAATGAATCGAGAGGGGTTTTTAAAAGGGATTTTTCCCCCCTGGGTGCCAGCCACAGTGAGCAGAAGCTGAGGAGCCTGGGTTTACACACACCTCAGGAGGAGGTGTGTGCCCATATACACACAGCAAGTAGGCCCAAGGCCCACGGGAAGCCCACGGAGGCCGTGTTGCCATCGCTGCGACAAAATGCCTGAGAAAGTCTCCCAAAGCATGCCCCTACTGTGACAAACTTCTTCAAACTAGTTCCCGTAAGCTGCATGCCATCAAATCTGAACCCATCGATAATCCACCTCCCCAAAGCCCATTGACGAGCAGCAAAGCCTTGAACACGCGAACCTTCTGAGGACACTATATATCCAAACCACAGCAAGGCTACAGCCCCGTCCAGGACTAGGAGCTGATGTGGCTACAGAACAGGAGCTTCTGCCTATGACGGGGACCAGAAGCCTGTGCCCAGAGTCACAGCAGGGTACCGACACCCAAGAGAAAGCAGAACCCTTCTTGCTCCACGTCTTGATCAGTTTGATGTGGGAAAGAACAAACAGAAATCATAGGATTAAAAGCAGTAGTCTTTTCTTAAAAAAAAAAAAAAAAAAAAAAAAAGCCTTAATACCTCAGAGATAGCTAAAGAGAAAATGAGTAAATTGGGTGATAGATCTGAGGACGTTAGACACAAGTCTGGAGAAGCAATAGAAATTATGAAAGAGGGGTTTGAGGATGTAGCACAATTAGTAGCATGCCTAGCACATGTGAGGCCCAGGGTTTGACCCCAGCACTGTATTAAGGGACATGGTGCTACACTCACGTGATACCGGCCACTGTGGAGGTAGAGGCAGAAGAATCAGGAGTTCAAAGTTATCTGTCAGTTACATAGCATTTGAACCCAACCTGAGATAAGAAAAAAAAATCTCTAACTCCAGTTCCAGTGGATCCAACAATCCTCTTCTGGCTTCCAAAGGAGGCATGCACATTGTACACAGAAATAAACGAGACAAACAAAACAAAACAAAAAAAACCTACCCAAACAAAAAATCCAAGTTTTGAATAGTATGCTAAGATCCACATAGACAAATTAAGATAAAGGCATAGAGCATCAACGATTAACCAAGAGCACTATTAATAATAGAAATTGTTGAGTGACTAATGTATCCGAGGCACCGCATTTAAGTGCTTCCCTTCCTAAGCCTCATAACTTGCAAAGTAGGCATTATGCTATATTAGTTATTGTTGACTGGCAAACACTTCAAAACTCAGGGGCTTGGAGCCTGGAACCCTTCCTGTCTCCCGGTGCCAGCGGCAGGAATCCAGCAGCGACTGATTCCGGCGCAGGGTCTCTCACAAGACTGTGTGGTTGGGTGCCAGTCATCAGCGCATGCCTGAGGCTGGAGAACTCTCTGCAGAGGGAAGAGGGCGGCTGACCGCTTCTCCTGGGCTCCTCTCCACAGGACTGCTTAGGGCAGAAGAGCAGATCGAGGCCATGGTGGAAATCAGTTTTCATTCGCTCTCGTAGACCCTCTCCTGCTGAAGTCCATGGGCCACACAGACCCTCCCTAGAACAGTGGGCGGGGCCTACAGAAGAGAGTGAAGCCCATCTTTGGAGACTGGCTTCCGGTACAGCTCTTTCAAATCCAAGAGTGTGAGCTTGAGGTTTGAGTAACCTATGAGGTCACTAAGCTAAGAAGTGGATTAACACACATCGTTTATTCAGTTAACAGGCTTCCCAGCGCTGAGTATACACTTACCGAACCCTCGGTTAACTCTAGGCAACTTAGTTGGGCAGGCTCCTGACTTAGAGTCTCCTCCCTCTGATCTTGACCTCTGCCCAGAAACTCTCCTCACTGTGGTGTCCTGAGGGAGCTCATCTGTGCCTTCCTGCCACTTGTTTGGGTCAGGCCTGGGTTCACTCTCTCCTGTGCCTTGGAAAGCATGGGGCACGCAGGGGACGCCTGTGCAGGGCCCTCAGGCCTCTACACCAACCTCAAGGCGGTGACTCGCCCCCCCCTCCCCAGGTGCGGTGGACCAAGACTGCTGGCAGCGCCTCTGACAAGTTCCAGGAGACGTCCGTGTTCAACGAGACGCTGCGGATCGAGCGCATTGCCCGCACGCAGGGCGGCCGCTACTACTGCAAGGCGGAGAACGGGGTGGGAGTGCCGGCCATCAAGTCCATCCGCGTGGATGTGCAGTGTGAGTGGAGGCCCTGTACCCTGACAGTCCGGACCCCGACAGGGGACAGCTCCCGATCCCTCAGGGGTGGGGAAAGGGTAGGATGGGGAAGTGGAGGACCAAGGAGGCTTCTCTTTGGGAATGCACCGCTGTATCTCCCTAAACCTTTTTCTCATTCCCATGTCGCCCTCCTCCCATGGACCTTGATGGCACCCTTTAAAGTGGACAGGGCATGCTGGATTATATTTCTTCCACGGAAGAGGAAAAGCAAGGTACCAGAGCAGGACAGTTTTCTATGTGAATTGAGGACACAAGGAGAGTTCTGGGCTTTTCCTCTCCACCACCCTGTGCAACTGTGGACCCCCAGTCACAGCCCTGGCAGGACACTAGACTCTCTGAGGACAGTTTAGGATTGTATTTATTTATGTAGTGTGTGTGTGTGTGTGTGTGTGTGTGTGTGTGTGTGTGTGTGTGTGTGTGTGTGTCAGAGAGGGTCTCAGGACAGCTTGCAGGAGCGTGTTCTCCCCTACCTCCTGGGTCTTGGGGACCAGTGGGAGGTGCTTTTACCCACTGAGCCATGAGGCAGGCAGGATCCCTGTGAGTTCGAGGCCAGCCTGGTCTACAAAACAAGTTCCAGGACAGCCAGGGCTACATAGAGAAACCCTGTCTCAAAAGACCAGAAACAAACAAAGAAACCCTGCTGATCCCTGGGCTCAACTTCCACTTGCAGAAGTTCTTACGTGTGTGACAGGGAATGTGGCCTGACATCAAGGATGCTCTTAAGCCACCAGTCAATAACTGTTTCCATCTGCACATGAGTAAGCATCACTGGTTTCAAGGCGTAGTGTGCTTTGAAGGAGCTAGGCTAGGGCCGGTCCAGCCTGTGGTCCAGAGACCATACGCACCCTACAATGGCCGTAAATACAGCCTGGCACAAAATACCAAACTCGCTCAAAACACTAGTAGATTTGTTTTTTTCTTTCCTGTCACTTGATTTTGCAGTTCTTAGTTATGAATTATCTAGATGAAAACATCATGTTCCACTGTCAAAATGTAGGCAATTCCCTTACACCCTTTTCCAGACAGTAACACCCCAGAGACAATCACCACCCACGAGGGGTTCCAGGCATTGCGTTAAAAAGAAATTTCAGGTTGAGATGTGGCCCAGTGGGTAGAGTGCTTGCTGAGCATGCCAAAGGCCCTGGGTGTGATGTCCCACACTGCATAAATTGATGTGGTGGTGTACGCCTGTGAGACCCAAGCGTGGGCAGTGGAGGCAAGAGTATCACAAGTTCAAGGTCAGCCTCAACTCCATGGTGAGTTCCAGGCCAGCCTGGGATAGGTGAGACCCTGTCTCAAAACCAAAACTAAAACAAAACAAAACTCAAAAAAGCAACCACAGGAAAAAAAAATCTCCATATCGTTTAACTGGAGCTGAATGCCGCCCATCTGGTCTGATTCGTCAGTGAGGAAACTGAGGCCCAGAAAGAAAAGGAACTTAGGCAGTCACTCTATAAACTCACAGCCAATGAGGGAGCTGAGCTTAGCTTTCAGTTTGTCTCCAGTGTATGGCTGCCTGTTCCATCCTGTGAGAGGTGTAGAGCTAGAGGCCCCACTCAGGTCCCTGGGAAAGAAGGACAGATGCTAGGGAGCCCTGGAAGCCATTAGATCCAGTCCCCTGCGTCCAACAGCGTGGTTGAGCTTGCGGAAGTGAAGGCAGGCATCAGCTTCCGGTGTCTTTTGAGAGTGGCTCTGCTCTCCCCAAGGGCTACAAGGCGCCTGAGTCCCTGGGGGCGCCTCATCTTGACTTAGGGCTGCTGTCCTTGCAGACTTGGATGAGCCCGTGCTGACGGTACACCAGACAGTGAGCGACGTCCGAGGCAACTTCTACCAGGAGAAGACGGTGTTCCTACGCTGCACCGTCAGCTCCAACCCACCCGCCCGCTTCATCTGGAAGAGGGGCTCCGACACCCTCTCCCACAGCCAGGACAATGGGGTTGACATCTACGAGCCTCTCTACACCCAGGTCAGGATGGGCAAGCTGGCTTCTCACACTCTCGTACCCCACGAGGGTACCCCAAAAAGGGGCTGAAGCCTGGCGGCCCAGACTCCTGGAGACTGGCGCCTGATCTCAACAATTCAGTGCCTTGGTGGGAGACACCTGTTCTAGAGTTCACATAGCCTGGGGTGAAAGGTCAGAGAGCAGAGAGGTCAGAGGCCAGAGGGAGTTCCAGACAGGGGAGTCCCCAAAGGCAACATATTCCCCCAGAGCATGGCTGGATAGGAAAAAACATCCAAAGGACAAGCAGACCATCTGTGCCTGCTGCTGTGGCTGAGATGGGGACCCATGAGCGGATGCTACAGGAGTTGGGGTGGAAAGGCCTCTCGGTCCTATACCTCCCCGCATGCGGTTCCAAGGGATGGAGATAAAGCCATTCTGCCAGGGAGGGCTTTCCAAAGTGACTGTCAGCCAAGGCCTTATGTGGCCTGTGGGCCGGTCCCGTGCTGTGTGGGTTACAAGCCACAACGGTATTCCCTGCTCACGCCTCCTCTTCCCCAGAAGGAAATAACACGGAGGCCTAATCCTGGACAGTGTGCGCCAGGGCTGCCTCTGCCCCGGAGAGGCCCGTGGAAGCACTGCCAGGGGCATGGCGGCTTCCTAGGGGAAGAGGTACGGGTAGGGATTGAGGCGGTAAGAATTAGAGTAGGTATTGCCTGTGGACTGTGGTGTAGATGAATGAATGTGGGGGACCCCATGAGACCCAAGCAAGTCCTTACTCCAGTGATCCACTGCCACCCAGGGGGAAACAAAGGTCTTGAAGCTGAAGAACCTGCGGCCCCAAGACTACGCCAGCTACACCTGCCAGGTGTCCGTGCGTAACGTGTGTGGCATCCCCGATAAGGCCATCACCTTCCGGCTCACCAACACCACAGGTACTGGCGCAGCCCCGCCCGCACCTACTTGGACCCGCTCCCCACCCTACTGCCCAGATCTTCCTCTCCAACATCCGTGCCTGGGTTTCTCTCGTCCCTGCCAGAGTGTCCCTGGCCTCTCCCCCTACCCAGGTTTCTCTGTCCCCTCATCCCCCTCTCATTTAGCCCTGGAAGTCTCCTGAGACCCAACCTCCTTGTCCCCTCAGCACCGCCAGCCTTGAAGCTGTCTGTGAACGAAACTCTGGTGGTGAACCCCGGGGAGAACGTGACAGTGCGGTGTCTACTGACGGGCGGCGACCCTCTGCCCCAGCTGCACTGGTCCCACGGACCCGGCCCGCTGCCCCTGGGTGCTCTGGCTCAGGGTGGGACCCTCAGCATCCCTTCGGTGCAGGCCCGGGACTCTGGCTACTACAACTGTACAGCCACCAACAACGTAGGCAACCCAGCCAAGAAGACGGTCAACCTGCTGGTGCGATGTACGTGACGTGACCCGGAGGGGTTGGTGGGAAGTTGTGCGGTGAACGGGGTCTCTGTCCTTTCTTCTTCTTCTTCTTCTTCTTCTTCTTCTTCTTCTTCTTCTTCTTCTTCTTCTTCTTCTTCTTCTTCTTCTTCTTCCTCCTCCTCCTCCTCCTCCTCCTCCTCCTCCTCCTCCTCCTCCTCCTCCTCTTCATCTCCTCCTCCTCTTCTTCTTTGATTGTGCAGTGCTAGGGTCTTCTTTTTTTTTTAAGACCCAAACTTTCAGGTCATGATGGCACAGGCCTGACATCCCAGCACTTGAGAGGTGGAGGCAGAAAGATTCAAGATGAAAGGTCATCCTTGGCTACATAGGAAGTCCAAGGCTAGCCTGGGCTGCCTGAGACCCAGTCTCAAAAAACAAAAACATGGACTGGAAAGATGGCTCAGCAGTTAAGAGCACTTGCTACTCTTACAGAGGACCTGAATTCAGTTCCAAGCACCCACACTGTGGCTTACAAACACCTGTAATTCCAGTTCCAAGGGAGAAGACCTTCTTCTGGCTTCCATGGGCACTGTGCACACACTTGGAGCACATATATACATGTAGGCAAATGCTCATACACATTTAAAATAAATTTTTAAAAGAACAAACAAGAAAAAAAAAGAAAAAGAAAAAGACCCAGGCTTATTCCCAGCCCTTGAGGCTTGAAAGTCAAGTACAGGTGTTGACAAACATGACTGAGCTCCTCAGACTGGCCTCCGAGCTCGTCTCTCGATGACCAGTCTCTTCCCGAGTCTCCCCTCAGCAAGAAGCCGGTTCTCTTCAATTTGACTCGGATTGAGAAATAGATGAACAAGACTGGAGTTCTCTGACCCCAGCTTTCTCTTCCGCAGCACACTCCCCATCAAAGATGAGCTGTCTCCACCTGATCCCACTTGACCTTGAACCCCTGGGGTGGTGAGATCTTCCTGGACATTTGTAGCTGTGGTGTCGCCTCTCAGGGTGGCTCTGCAGCCTGCCTTGTCCAGCCCAGTGCTGATCTCCAAGTCACTGTACCAGTGCCCTGCCAAGTTAGCGCCTCACTTAGTAAGGGACTTTAACTGACTTCAAACAAGACCCACATTTTAAAAAACATCCAGACCCTTGTTCTCTGAGCCACGTGATGTTGTGCAATTGCATGCAAGATCATCGTGTTGGCTTTTTATGATCAAAAAAAAAAAATCACAGTCTTGTAAAAAATCAGACAGTACAAAAGGTGGGGAAAGTGATGAATTGCTCCTCTGTTTCCTTATGATCTATGCTGGATGGAGCAGCTATCAAGTCTCATGTTTCCCTTCTTTATCAGTACTTTGTATACGCAAGGTTGAAAACACAAATGAAAACAAAGCAGTGTGTGGTCAAGAAGGCTTTGAGGGTACAAGTCAGACCGGCTGAGCCCCAGTTCCGTCCAGAGACAGTGGGATGGGTTAGATGCACTGGTCCATGTGTGACGCCTGGGCCAGCCCCTCTCACTGATGGAGTGTGCTCATTAATAATGCCTGGAGTCAGCTCCCATCTCGCTTTTCTGCAGAGAGCTCTTCAGAGCTACTGAAACACCTCTGGGCCATTGCAACCATTTCCAGACAGGGCTGGGGTATCGCCAATATGAGAGGAGAAGCTGGGGTGGGACACGGACGCCCATCCTTGGGTCAGCCCCAGCCCTTCCTCCGCTCCCCATCTCCTTGCAGCCTTGAAGAATGCCACATTCCAGATCACCCCCGACGTGATCAAAGAGAGCGAGAACATTCAACTCGGCCAGGACCTGAAGCTTTCATGCCACGTGGATGCGGTGCCCCAGGAGAAGGTGGCCTACCAGTGGTTCAAAAACGGAAAGCCGGCACGCATGTCCAAGCGGCTGTTGGTGACCCGCAATGACCCTGAGCTGCCCGCCGTCACCAGCAGCCTGGAGCTCATCGACCTGCACTTCAGTGACTATGGCACTTATTTGTGCTTGGCTTCTTTCCCGGGATCACCGGTGCCTGACCTCAGCGTTGAGGTCAACATCTCCTCCGAGACAGGTGGGGCCATTGGGAGCTGGGGGGATGCTGGGAAGGCCCAAAATGGGGGGAGGTGTGGGGGGACCCAGCAATTTGCAAGTGGATGTCTAATGGGAAGAGGACACCATTTGTTCATGCCACACACACACATGTTGGGTCCCTGTCATAGCCAGGCTCCGTGACAGGCCTTCGGGCAGAGTGCTGGGAAGAGGAGATGCTGTGTTCCTTGAACGTGATGGGAAGATGAACTTATTCCAGACAGTTCATGAAGAAACGTATCACTGAAAACTGTAATGTGGATGAGATCTGAGGGAGGAGCAAGATTTTGCTAAGCAAAAGAAAGCCAGGGAGACCACAGAACGAGCATATGCAAAATCACCACAGTGGGAGAGCACACTGGTCATCTGGAGGGTGGAAGAGAGACAGTAGCTAGGAGAGCGGAATGGTACAAGCTCAGAGAGGCCACCCCGCGGACCTCTCAGCCATGGAGGTCAGGTGCCAGCAGGGTTGGGCTCCCTGGCTGGCTGGTGGCATCTTCTCCCTGTTCATATCTGTGTCCTAGACCGGATTAGGGGAGATCCCACTGACTTCAGCCTTCAGAGGCCTGCCTCCAATACAGTCACATTTTGTTCGTACACTGGCATTAGGATGACAATATATGGATTTTGAGGGGACAGAATGCATCTTATGACGGGCCATGGTGAAGAGTCAGGTCTTTATTCTTATAATAATTATGATAATACTATGAGTTGATAATAGGAAATCGAGCATTCACTGTGTGTTCTTATGAGCGTATGATTTCTTCATTCACCTCTGTGACTCATTTTATGGGGTGGCAGGGTTTTGGGTTTTTTTTTTTTCATTATTTTACTCATTTATTTTGTGTGACTATGCATGTGTAGACATGTTCTGTGGTACACGTGGGAAGCCAGAGGACAGCTTGCCGGAGTTGGTTCTTTCCACCATGTGGGTCCCAGAGATCAAACCCAGGTGGTCAGGTTTGGCAGCAAGTGCCTTTACCGCGGAGTTACCTCACCGGCCGGTTGGGGGTAGCAATTTATCTTCTCATTTTACTGAGGAAGAAGCGTGCCTTAGAAACTTGAGTTTGAGAAACTTAGCAAGCAGTGGAGCTGGGGTGAGAGCCCAGGCAGGGGCACTGTAGGAGGACATGAGGCTGGAGGATGGTTTTTGGGAGAGGGCTCCAGGACCTTCTCCTGAGAAGCCAGCTGAACTTGGCTGGCGAGCCGCGTGACCAACCAATACAATGACAACTCTAATCGTTATGAATATTTCCTCCCTTGGCACTTAAGCTCTGTCCTCAATTTCTCTCGGCGGGCAATTAGACCCAGTGGCCTCAGAGGACCCTCTGCACACAGGGAAACCCAGTGCGTGGAGAGCCCAGAAGAGGCTTCTAAAAGGAGATGGCCTTCAGTAGGACCTCAGAGTGGATCGGAACTCCACCAAGACCACAGAATCATTTTGCAGAGTACCTTGTGCAAAGCTGTGGGAAGCTAAGACCCAGACTCCAGCACGGGCAGCCCCTTCCTCAGAACTGGCTGTCTGGACAGGGGACCTAGGGCTGTTAGGAGAAGGGAGAAGGCAGGGAAAATGCTGGAACTCTTGCCTAGGAGGCAAAAGAGGGGTCTGTACAGGAGATGCTAGTGAAGGAAAGCCAGGCTGCCTAGGAAGCCAGAGGCAGCTTTCTCCAGGAGGTGTGTTCCACGTGAGTCTTGGAGGGGGCTGTGGGCTCTGCCAGGTGAGGACATAAACCCAGAAGGGGTACAGCAAGAAGAAAGAACACAGGGTTGCACAGTGTAGGAGACTAGGTGTGTCTCGGGGTAGGTGAGAGGATTCCTCACAAAGTTGAGTCATGCAGCTGGGACACGACAGGGCACAGATGGGAGTTGAGGCTGGGGAATGATGGAGGCCAGAGTCTGAGGGCCCTCTCCCCAGAGCCCGAGTACAGAGCTTTAACCTGAGGGCACATGGGAAGGGGGTCTCTTCATCCTGGGGGGCCTGGAAGGCTTCAGAGCTAGGAAGTTTCTGACCGAGGGAAGAGGCCTTCGGCTGATTCTGCATTTGGCTCACAGGTCGGATGCCTGGAGCACAGAAGCCTTGTAAACGCCTCTGGGAACGATTTAAACCCGAGGTGGGGGGGGGGGGGGGAATGAATGAACCGGCTCCAAAATACAAAGAGAAAGCCGTGGAACAGAGGCCAATAGATGAGCAAATGTTGGCAGGGCACGATGTATATAAACTGGATAACTGGACCCTCGCCTGGTTTCTATAGTTATTTACAAATAATTGCTCCATATTTAATTATATTTAATGTTCAATATTTGACATTTAATGATGAAATGTTTGATGTGGGTTAAGACCCAGGGAGGTCTTCTCAAAACCCTTCATTTGGCAGTGTGTTGGGGTGGAGTGGGTTCAGCTGTGAATAAGAGAACTCTAATTAACAGTGAATTAAGCGTGTGGGGTGTGTGTGTGTGTGACTCAGTCACTGTGCCACTGGCTGAGCATGTATACGGCCCAGGCTCCGGCTCCGGCTCCATCCTGAGCGCCGCCACACACAGGCTACACGTCTGTGGCTTCATCATGTGAAGGTCGGCTGGTGAGTCGGCTGGTTTAGGATAGCGGTCTCCGAAAGTCCTCAGGACTCCAGGTGCCAAGTCCTTCTTGTCACCTCCTCCATGATGGCAGTTCCACCTGCAGCCAGTGATCTGCCTTATGACCTGCAGCCCGTTATTTTCTTTAATATCCCATTGGTCGGTATTTATTCAGAGGCATGCTGGGAAATGTAGTCTTTAGTCTGGATGGCGCGCCCTTCTGAAACCAAGTGTCCTTATTATTTTGGAAGAAGGGCTGCAGGATGTCGGGAGATAGACTTAACGTGGTGTGCTGATACTGTAGGCAAGAAAAGCTGGAGAGATGGCTCAGTGGTGAAAGGCACTTGCTGCTCTTGTAAAGGACGGAAGTTTGATTCCCAACATCCCTGTTGGAAATCCAGGGTGGCTCACAACCCTCTGTAACTGCAGTTCCCACGGATCCGGTGCCCTTGATCTTTGGGCAGTGCATGCACGTGTACACACACATGCATATACACATAAATACATATCCAAATAAATCTCAAAGGGACGAAGGGCTAGAAGTAGAAGGGCTGGGAAGGGAGAGGTTCAAAGTGCTTGAGAGTTTGAAGCAGGAGGATGAGTTTAAAGCTAGCCTCGGCTACATAGCAAGTTCAAGGCCAGCTACAAGGGTGGCCTACAAGAGATCCTTTCTCACCCTCTCGCACGTGCAAGAAAAAAAAAAAAAGAAAAGAAAAAGAAAAGGCAGGACACCCCTGTATGAATGTTAGGGAAGTGGAATGGTTAGGCTGACTGCATGGCTCTTTCTGAACGGGAGAGCCTGAAGTGGAGATGATTGGGGAAGGCCACTGCACACTGTGCTCTGGACATTCCGAGGGACCGTGGGACCCACGGGCTGGACACGGGGGATAGGCAGAGCCCCACTTCGGAGACCAGGGGTCCCTAACTCCGTCCACCCCTCTCCACCCTCCTCCAGTGCCGCCCACCATCAGTGTGCCCAAGGGCCGCTCCGTGGTGACGGTGCGCGAGGGCTCTCCTGCCGAGCTCCAGTGTGAAGTGCGCGGCAAGCCCCGGCCGCCGGTGCTGTGGTCTCGCGTGGACAAGGAGGCCGCCCTGCTGCCCTCAGGGCTGGCCCTGGAAGAGACTCCGGATGGGAAGCTGCGGCTGGAGCGCGTGAGCCGCGACATGAGCGGCACCTACCGCTGCCAGACGGCTCGCTACAATGGCTTCAACGTACGATCCCGGGAGGCTCAGGTGCAGCTGACGGTGCACTGTGAGTCCCCTCCCCAGACACCCAGCCCAGGCCAACCCCACCCCTCCACCTACTGCTTGCACACCCCAAAAACTCTTTGACGATCTCTCCGCGAGGCCCAGAGAAGTTAAGTAATTTGCCTCAGTTTGCATAACAAGGCTTGGATCTGAACTAGGTCTGGAGACAGTTCTCCAAGCTCCGTGGCTGTGCGGTCTTTGGTTACAGTGTTGGTCGAGGGACCCACTGAGGCACAACCAGCGGCCCAGTCTGGGAAGCATGGCTGAAGGGGACGGCCCGCAGGCAGTCTGAGCCTGGCTGTTGTATGAATGAGTTGCGCGTGTGTATCAGGTCCTGAGATGCTCCCAGGCCAGGGTCACGGGACTAGGGGGGACAAATAAGCCTCCTCCTCCACGGTCCTACTGACCGCAGCCCTGGTCCCCAGTCCCGCCAGAGGTGGAGCCCAGTTCCCAGGACGTGCGCCAGGCGCTGGGCCGGCCGGTGCTCCTGCGCTGCTCGCTCCTGCGCGGCAGCCCCCAGCGCATCGCCTCGGCCGTGTGGCGCTTCAAAGGACAGCTGCTGCCCCCGCCGCCTGTCGTCCCCGCCGCCGCCGCCGCCGCCGCCGAGGCCACCGATCACGCCGAGCTGCGCCTGGACGCCCTGACCCGTGACAGCAGCGGCAGCTACGAGTGCAGCGTCTCCAACGACGTGGGCTCAGCTACCTGCCTCTTCCAGGTCTCCGGTGAGCGTCCGGTCGGCCCCGCCCCCGCCTCCCCGACCCCGCCCACCTGGGGCCAGGCTCCGGCCCCTGCGGCCCTGCCACGCCTGGCTGGGCATCTCTTCCCATCTAGTTCCTGCAGTCTTAGGCATTCGTCCTTCCAAGACCTGCCCGTGCCAGGTGTAGACCTCGCCCCGTGGAGCCCAGATCCAATCTTTGACCGCCTCACGAAGGCCTGTCCCCTCAAGATCACGCCCCCCCCACCCCAAGGCTCCTGGCTGGTGACCGGTCCCTTTCTCTGGCCTCCTACAGCCATGCCCCTTTCAAATCCAGTCTCTGCAAACACCAGACTTAGACCCCTTCAGCTTCATCCAGCCCTGTGCTCCTGTCCCTCTAACCCTGCTTACACTCAAAACTTAGGTCCAGTCCCATCCCAGCCATAACTCTAGCCCTTCCTCCATGGTCCTTGGCCTCAGAGATTGTGAATGGGGACAACCACTGGGTACCCCGCTTATAGCTTGGGGGTAGAAGATGCCCCTAAAAAGCTGGGGAATGTAGGGGTGAGGCTGGGCTAGCCAGAGCACAAGTGCCCCAGCCCTCCTCCCCCTCCTCCCCCTCCTCCCCCTCCTCCCCCTCCTCCCCCTCCTCCCAGCCAGCTGCCACCCTAGAGACGCAGGCTGTCGGGTGCTCAGACATCCTTCTCAACCGCTCTTTTGCATCAGGCCTCTCCTTAGGAGCCCACAGGGCTGCTGATGGGCCAGGACGGGGGACAGAAAGGCATGGCGGGGGTTGCTGAAAGGGTGGAGGGCAATAGCCAGGCTGTCTGCGTGGCCAGCGGTCTCTCATTTCTCCTCTCCATTTTGAGGGCCTCCTTCCTGCCAGATCTGGTGGCCGTGAGCCTGGGAGACCTGTGTGCCGGTTCCCTGGCACCCCCAGTTTCCTCAATAGCGCCTCCGAGGCACTGGGCTGCCCCCTACGACTCTCGCACTACTCGGTCCCCTCAAATGGCAGGGCCAGACCTCCCGGGCCTCTCCCCACCCACTCAACTTTGCCAGCCAGAGGCCCCGGTGACATTTCCCACCTCCTTCCCTCCCCCTGTTCTCCCGTTCTCCCTGTCTCCTCACCTTCTGACCTCCACCTACCATTTCTTCCTTTCCTCTCTATATGCCTGACCCTTATCTCTACCAACCTTCTTCCTCTGTTTCTTCCTTGGCCTTTCCTCGATATTCTCACCAACATCCCCTCTTGGGATTTACAATCGCCCCTCCCCCTCCATCGCCACCCCCCACCTCACCTGCATCCTCCCCATCCCCTCTCCTCCCAACGCCAACTCTCCTCACACAACCCCTTTCTCTTTGTTGCCCCCCCCACCTCTGACCCCCCCCTTTCCCATGGTTCCTCTCTCCGTGTCTCTCCCCCCTCCACCCTCCACGGCCCCATGCCCCCTCCCTGCCCTCTCAGCCAAAGCCTACAGCCCGGAGTTTTACTTCGACACCCCCAACCCCACCCGCAGCCACAAGCTGTCCAAGAACTACTCCTATGTGCTACAGTGGACGCAGAGGGAGCCGGACGCCGTGGACCCCGTGCTCAACTACAGACTCAGCATCCGCCAGGTGGGCCAGGGCTTGAGGCATGGGCAAGGGGGTGTGGTACGGTGGCGGGTCCTAGAAATAGGGACAGGGAGGAGTTCCCGGACACAGCCCCTCCTGTCTGGGTAACTTTTCTGAGGCAGAGGAAGAGTCCAGATGTAGCAGGCAGAGCTGGGAGCCTCTGAGCACACTGTGCCCTCTATACTGTCCCTGGGTACGCCTGAGAACCAGACACAAGATGGCTGGGTGCAGGGCAAGGCCAGTGTGGCTCATAGAACGAGCATCCACTCTGGTGTCCAGGGGAGGGCAGGGTCTCTGTGGAGCAGAGCCTGGGTCCGTGAGCTCCTCTCATGCTGCCTGGTCCAATCTATGTGGTCCAGCCAAGAGGCAGTAGTGGGAGGGGAAGACAGGCCCTTGGGAACAGGGCCTGGGGTCGGGGGCAGCTTCTAAAGAGTTTAGTAAGCTTACAGCTCTTTTGACCCTCATTTGCTTATCTGTGAAGTGGGATAATGTTACTATTTTATCTTAGAGGATTGTTGTTTTGAGTATTAGGTGAGTTGTGATGCGTAAGCACGTTATAGTGCCCAGGACACACTAATTGTCCCTTACCTGTTGCTATGGTATACCGCGATATATCCTTGTTAGTACAGTGGCATCCTGGTTGGGGGCCTGGAACAGCAAACTGTTCCATCTCAAAGACGGGGAAACCCAGGGCCTGATGTCCCCAGCTCTTGGCTCTTTCTGCTCCCCGGAAGTATTCCAGGGCCTGTGCTGCCCCTCCAGGGGAGGCTATGGCCTGCTGAGCATCTGGGAATTCTCCTGTATCCACAGTTGAACCAGCACAATGCCATGGTCAAGGCCATCCCTGTGCGGCGTGTGGAGAAGGGGCAGCTGCTGGAGTACATCCTGACTGACCTTCGTGTGCCCCACAGCTATGAGATCCGCCTCACACCCTACACCACCTTTGGGGCTGGAGACATGGCGTCCCGAATCATCCACTACACAGAGCGTAGGTGGTGGTGGTGGCGGCAGACCTGGCGGTGGCAGGGTGGGCCCATCGCCTATACCCCTCCTACACAGCCCTTGAGCTTGGAGCACCCCGTTGGTCCCCAGTCCTGGCTCCGAAGACCCTTCCCCACTGACCCCCAGCCTGGGCACACTTTGCACAGCCATACACCTCAGTTCTCACTTGGTTTTTTTGCTTTTTCAGCCATCAACTCGCCCAACCTATCAGGTGAGACCCCGGTCCTTCACTTCCCCCACCCTTTAGGGACACAGAGGCTCTCCTGATGGGATATAGAGACCTTAAGAGATACTCAGAGAAAGAATAACTTCTTCCAGTGTTTCCCTGGAGAAGGGCCAGCAACAGAGGATGGGGCTGGAGACGCTTTGCAATCAGAGTTTATTCCGGGGCTCAAAGACTGCACGCTGGTGGAGGGCACTGTCCGCCAAAGTAATGGGAAAGTCGGGCTTCCTGGTTTCATCTGTTTCTGCAGTAAAATTCCCTAAACAAAAAGCACCTTAGGGTAGACAGGGAGCAAGGGTGCTAACCTGTGCTGCTGGGCTTCTGCAAGGGACCTCTGTAGAGAACCAAGGGTGTCTGAGTCTGAAGAGGTGCATTGTTATTTCTTTATTTTCCCAGCTTCTGACAGAAATATGCTCTTTAATGATGAACGTAGACAACAAGCCACAGCAGAATAATCAGCACCTGTTACTCTGTCATCCGCAGACACCCCGTGTTTCCCCGTCGCCTTACAGTTGTTGCAGACATCTGTAAATGTCATTTCCATTCATTAGTATTGCAGAACCACGGTAGTTATTAGACCTAACACTAGATCTTGTGATTTAATTATATAATAAAGAGGCCCTGTTATTATAGAACAGATTACAAGAATATTTTGACAACTGTATTTCAATATAATTGATTTCCTTTGAAGTCCCTGTGCATTTTATTTTATGTGTCTAGAATCATTATTCTGGAAGGAACTCTTAAACCAGAAGGCTGAAGTTCTGTTCCTGAATAAATTTGGTCCTGCCCCCACTGCCTGATCTCTCTGGCCCAGAAGTCCAGGACCCATTGTTTAGCTGATTTAAAGTTGGCTTAGGGATGTTAAGGGGAGGGCAAAGATAGACAAGGGGGGTATTTGTCTCACCCCCTGTGCCCTCCACACAGACAACACCTGTCACTTCGAGGATGAGAAGATCTGTGGTTACACCCAGGATCTGACAGACAACTTTGACTGGACTCGGCAGAATGCTCTTACCCAGAATCCCAAGCGTTCTCCTAATACTGGCCCCCCTACTGATATCAGTGGCACCCCTGAAGGTGAGGACATGGCCTGTCGTTAGGAATAGAGGATGGCCTCTGGGAAGAATCTAGGCCTGTGGAGCCCCAGTCTGAGAGTGGAGGGAGACACATACGATCCTCGGGGACCCTCTGAGGGAGACATGCCCTGTCTGAAGGATCCCCAGTCTGAGGGCAACAGAACTCTGGCCTGATTGAAGATCAGAAAGGAAGAAATTGTCCGCAGAGCTGGGGACTTCTGAACTCAGTGGGGATGGGCTTGGCAGCTTGTGCTAGGTCTAAAGACCAAGCAGGGAGGAAATCAGCTAGACGGAGGCTGGGTGGCTGAGGAGAGGTTGCTAGCACACACACACACCCACTTTCACTGCAGGCTATTACATGTTCATTGAGACGTCCAGGCCCCGGGAGCTGGGGGACCGTGCCCGGTTGGTGAGTCCCCTGTACAATGCCAGCGCCAAGTTCTACTGCGTCTCTTTCTTCTACCACATGTATGGGAAACACATCGGTGAGTTGGAGACCACGATATTGACTGTGTGAGCTGGCTGGGGAGGGTAAGGGAGCCACAGAGAGCTCAGAGGACTTCCCAAGGAGGCCTACGCTTCTCAAGTTGGTTAACCTGGGAGTAGGGGTGGGGGAATTGTGGGCAAGTGGTGCTGAGGACGGAGACTGCAACTTAGCTGTTTTGGTTGTGTATCGACTGCTTGCCAGGTACTGGGGCCCATACAATTCAGAGAGCTTAAGCATTTCCTCAAGAATCTTAAAACACAGCGTTGGAAGGGTGTGTCTTCCAGAGCCGCGAGGGGAAGTACTGCTTCCTAAGTATGAGAGTGATGTAAGGACCACCAGATGGGGAGAGAGGGCAGGGAGAAGCATCACTTTTCATCCCTGGGCTCACCAGCACAGCCACCGCCGCCATGTGCCAGCATCAGTTGCTTTGATGCAGGAGACGGACAAGTCCCTGTCCTTCAGTCTAGGGGAACAGGCCAATCTGACCGCTAATGGCACCTGATAGGAGTGAGTGACCACTGTGGTAGTGGGAGGACAGTGCCAGGGCAGCAGATGACAAGGAACACCGGGTCTGTCTGGAGGCTGGGCCTGGGAGACCGCCGAGAACATGAAGACTGTTTCATGTGCTGTTTGACGCAGGGTGCGTGGCCATGCGTGCCTTTGATCCCAGCCCTGTTTGAGGCCTGGTCTACATAGCCAGTTCCAAGCCAGCCAGGACTAAATAGTGAGACCCTGTCTTAAAAAAAAAAAAAAAAAAAAGTTTTGTTTTGTTGTTGTTTTAACCTGCAGCAGAGCTAATGCATTTTACAGGGACCGAAAGTTATAAGAGTGCAGTAAATACCTCCCGCTCTTCCTGGTCCCGCCACCACCACGGAAGGCAGTGCACGGCGTCTCTCTCTCTCCCCACTGTTTTATACTCTGTTTTTATACTCAGCATCTCCCTCTGGACCATCCATCATCCTGGCAATTCTTCCTTATCAGTCCACCAAAGCTGCTTCGTTGCCCCTGTATGCCGCCCCCGCCCCTCCCGCCCCGCCCCGCACAGCAGAGGGAGTGACTTGAAGTTTCACCCAGGAGAAGTTCCCACATTGAGAGAGGAGGGTCATGCCGAATGGATGAGCCAGGATGGGGTGGGATAGGAGATTCCGCACTCCCGGAGCCCCCCCCACCCCCCACCCCAACCATCTGCACAGACCAGCACTGTGGCTGGGTCTGGACTCTGTGAGACGTTTCCCCTGGGGTGAGAAAGACGGGGACCCTGGCTGTGTGCCCCTGTTGGCACTGAGTTTCAGAGCAGTCAGTTCCTTCTGGATTCCCCAATCTTAGTGCTGAGCCACCCCAGCCCCCGGCAAATGGAGATGGTGGGTCACCGTCACCCCACCGTCAGAGTGGTCCTGGGCGTCCAGGTGTCCGGGGAGCAGATAGGGTATAAATCTAGGGGATTAGGGAGACAGACAGCCTGAGAGGACAGACACACAGACCTTGCTCTGGGCTTCCCAGGAGTGGAGCAGACACTAGCAGTAAAGTGATCGGGAGGCAGCTTTGAGGCCAGCTAAGGGGGACTCTCGTTGTCAGACCTATGGGTCAGGAGTGGGTTATTCCAGAGGTGAAACGCATCCCGCCCACAGACAGACAATCCAGCTGTGGAGAGACTCCATCCTGGATCATGCTTCTCCTCTGCCCGGGACCCTCTGACCCTTCCTGTAGCCATTTTCAGCTCTCCCATGCCGCGGACACAGCTCTGACCCCTCTCTGGCCCTGTTTGCTGCCAGCTGACACGGGCACCCCATCCCTTGCCTGACTACTCCAGGCACATTCCTGCCTCTGAGGGCTTTGCTCAGAGTGGTCTCTGGCCTGGAATGGCACTCCTTCCTTCGCTCAGGTCTCCGGGGGCAATCCTGACACAGCTGCCCTTCCCGTTCCTCGAAGTGGTTTTTGCTTTGCATGTGTGTGACTGTGGGGGACGGGGGTTGCGTGTGTATGAGGATTGCGTGTGTGCGGGTCTGTGTGTGTGCACCTGCCTATGGAGTTCGGAGATCAACCTCAGACATCCACCCTCTGTCAAGTTCCATCTTATTTGCTTTTTGTTTTGTTTTGTTTTGAGGCAGAGTCTTTTTAAGTAGCCCTGGCTGGCCTGGAGCTCACTGTGTAGACCAGGCTGGCCTCAAACTCCCGGAGATCCACCTTCCTTTGCCTTCTGTGTGTTGGAATTAAAGGCCTGTGCCACCACATCCAGCCAACCTTAATTTTTGAGAAAGGGTCTGTCACTGAACCTGGAGCTCACTGATTCCACTAATGAGATGGCGTAGCAGTTTAAAAAATGCTTGCTGTTCTTGAAGAGGAACTGAGTTCAATTCCTGACACCCACATGATGGCTCAAAATGGTCTGTAACTCCTGTTTGGGGGCATCTGATGCCCTCTTCTGACCTCTGTTGGCATCAGACACACGTGTGGTGCACATACATACATGCAGGCCAACACTCATACACGTAAATTACAAATGAATAAATCCTTTTAAAAGATTGTTTTTGAGACAGGGTTCCATGTAGCCCAAGCTAAACAAAATTGTTTTGTAGTTGAGTGCTTATAAGGACCCTAAAAAATATTAGATCTGAGCCCTGCTGAAGCCAGGGTGGTCATTTCCTGTTCTGCTGGAACAAGTAGCCGCCCTCTTAGGGGCCCATGCCAGTCTGATGAGGCCCTGCCAGCCCTGAGCCTTTAGCATGTCCCCCAGGCCTGGCTCTGCTATGTCCCCCCCGCCAACACACACGCACTGTGCCTGGCAGCTTTGGGCACCAGCTGTCCCTAAACTTTGTGTCTCGTCGGCTCTCCTTGGTCTCAGCCAACTCCTTTCATCCAAGGCAGGTAACATTTGGTGACTCTCCCCGCAATGGGGGGAGGGAGGTGTCTGTCTAACTGGCGTCCCAGATGGTGCAGCTTTGTCTGTGGGCAACTCCATGGAAATGCCAGCCACCAGGCGCCTCTGAAGATGGATTTCCCTTTCCCGCAGAGCGAGGTCTCTTGTGCCATGGGAGTGGTGGAGAAGGGCTGAAGGGGACATTCAGGGGACACTTAGAGCATCTGTGTGACTTTCAGTAAGCTGCAACCCGCTGTTCTCCGAGCGCCCCTCAGCCCTCCTAGGGTCCAGATCCCCGGGGCTGCACCCATAGGCTACCGCCCTCTGAATCTTACCCTAACTGTATTCACCATAGCCATGGAGCCCCCAGACTGACGTCTTTAAATAAGCTCATCCTATGTTTCAGGGTTGTTTTTTCAGCTTCGTCCTACCATCAGTATCAGAGAGAGCGTGACTCGGAAGGCTAGCTTTACCCGATACGTAAGACCTCCAAATAGGGAGCTGGGGAGAGGGCTCAGCGGGTAAAGTGTTTTGCTGCTCAAGCATGAGGACCTGAGTTCAGATCCCCAGCACCCATGGAAAAGCTGAGTGGCAGTGCACATCTGTAACCCGATGGGGATGGGGAGGTGGGGACCAAGACAGGCAAATCCCAGGGGCTGTCAATCAGTGAGCTCCAGGGTCAGTGTCCAAAAAGATGCCAGGAAGATACCCAATGCTGACCTCTGGCCTACACACACACACACACACACACACACACACACACACACATAAATCTCTCTGTATATAATTTTAAAAACTTTACAATAAATTAAAAATGGTAAGCCCCTTTCTGCTCCCCAGTAACCACGTACCGTGTGGGTGTGCGTGCGCCTGTGCTCTGAGAATCCTGTCTGAACTGAGGTGAGGGATGTACCTGTTCTGGGATGGCGGTGTGTGTGTGTGTGTGTGTGTGTGTGTGTGTGTGTGTGTGTGTGTGTGTCCCCACCATGCACCTGGCCTGATTCATTGATTACATGGAAAAGAAAGAAAAAAAAGGAAGGAACTCTGCAAGCTGGTCTGGGGACAGGAACTGGCCCCATTATGCTGTGGGCAGTGGTGAGTGGGGGGGGGGAAGCCAGCTTAAGGGAGACAGGAAGGCCAGGATGTCAATGCCAGCCTCACCACGCTCTCCCATCTCCTGCCACAGGTTCCCTCAACCTTCTGGTGCGGTCCAGGAACAAAGGCACACTAGATACACACGCCTGGTCCCTCAGTGGCAATAAGGGCAATGTGTGGCAGCAGGCCCATGTGCCCATCAACCCCAGTGGGCCCTTCCAGGTGAGTTACTTGGTGAAAGCTGTTCCTAAGGCAGGTGGCTGCCCTGGACAGAAGCTCTTAGGGAGGTCCTGAGCAGGTTCCTGGGGGGTTAAGACAGGGGGTGAGGGGCTTCCAGGTAGCCTGAGGTGAAGGTGTGGGGAGGCTCTGGTGCCAGGCCCAACCTCCCCAACCCTTCCCCCTGCTCTCTGACCCCACCCCAGATTATTTTTGAGGGGGTTCGAGGCTCGGGCTACCTGGGGGATATTGCCATAGATGATGTCACACTGAAGAAGGGAGAATGTCCCCGGAGGCAGATGGATCCCAACAAAGGTATGTGACTTGAAGTGGGTTGGGGGATGGGGGGGCTGCTAGCGAGGGGTTTAGGATGCCTGGGTAACGAGGACTGCTCATAAGTGCCCACTTGGGCACTACCCTGAGTCAGGCTGTGAGGAAAATGGAGGACTGGCGGAGGCCACTGGCCCTGCCTAGCTTACTGCCTTGTCCATAGTATGTCCCGTGGCTCCAGTTGTCTGAGCAACGACTGTGTGCCGGGCACAGGGCAGAAACCTGCAGAGCAGGCTTCTCTTAATGCTCCTGGCAGCTCCCCGGGATATCAAATACTATCAGACCCATTTTGTAGGTGAAGAAACTGAGGCCCACTGAGGTCAAGTCCTTTGCTCTATCTTAGTGAGCATGAACAGCAGCACACCCAGTTAACCCTCATGAGTGTGTCTGCGTGAGCTAACTGTGTGAACTCCTGCCTTCAGGCTTCCTTCATCCCCTGAAGAGAAGCAGCGAAGTCGTGGGGCCTCTCACGGCCTATCTCTCTGTCCCCTCCCTACCCCTGCTGGAGCTAACCAGAGCCCTGGCCTGTTTCCTCTCTGTCTTGTGTCGCAGTGGTGGTGATGCCCGGCAGCGGAGCCCCCAGCCTGTCCAGCCGGCAGCTCTGGGGATCCATGGCCATCTTCCTCTTGGCCTTGCAGAGATGATGAGAGCTGTGTGGCCCCCTACCCCACCCCGCCCCCGGAACACCAAAGTGTCCACATCGTACCAAAGACTGACCCCCTGCCAGCCGGGGTGCCCAGGGGCGGGGCCGGCCCGCCAGGGAGGGGGCCTTCATTGGCTGCAAGGATGAACGGAGAACACGGACAGAGGCCAGGCCAGGCTCTGATGGTTGTTCAACACACGCACACACACACACTCACACACACACACACTCACACACACAGATCTATTAAAGCACAAGTTTCTATCCGACCTGCCAGCACCTTCTTTACTCTGGAGACAAGGGACGGACCTGGACGGCGTCTGACACCTCCGAGGACCTTGGTGCGACGCTGGCCTCGTCTGGACTGCACTGCACTGTTTCTGACCTTGCCCTGTCCCCTGACTGACTCAAGGTCGAACTCCAGCCCAGAGGCTTGCCAGAAGGGAGCCGGATGTGGGCACACACATCAGACTTGTGCTGCTCGGATGGAGGTCGCAGGGGTCAGAGGCAGGCCAGGTGGGACCTCTCTGAGAAAGGAAGGGGCACCTGCTGCATGCAGGCAACTGTCCCCAGAGTGTGGAGACAGGCTGGATGGTTGAGGTACCAGTCAACTCAGATCAACCTGTCCCTGAGATGTCACACTCCCCTCCCCACTGTGCCCACTTGGAAGGGACCCAGCACAGGACTTAGGGTATGTGCAGTGTGAGGACTGCACCTCCCATCCTGCCCCACTCCAGAGAGTCCCAGCTTGGGACTTCTGGAGAAACTGGTGGTGTGAGGAGTGTCCACGCCATGCTCCCTGGTAGGGCTTGGCTTTGAGAGGATCACAGAGTCTTCCCCTCCCCTCCTGCCTCTGTGATTCCATGTTCCCACAGAGAACCATGAACTCATGAGTGGAGTGGACCCCCTGTTTCTTAGGTATTTAGTCTGACAGGGAGTTCTGGAAGGAGGGGGCCATGGAGGATAGGACACTGTCTAGTCAGCTCTGGAGCTCTGGGGTGATGGATGGAGATGGCTGTGTCTTCTTATTCCCTGGGAGCTGGGAAGAGCTTTGTCCTTGGAGCTTGAAATTGATGGGATAGGATCTAGAATTTTCCTCTTTGTTCCTCTTTACCCCCTGCCCAGCTTCCATGGGAGAGCAGAATCCTAGCCCCTTCTTGAATGAGTCTATATACGCGCGTGTGATGTGTCTGTGTATCAGTGTCCACGTGTGTCTGTGTGTCTCTGAGTGTGTAAGAGTGTGTGTGCCCATCTGTGTCCGTGTGCCGCTGTGCACATCCCTGGACGGGAGTGTACAGGAGTATGAGGTTGAGCATAATAAGCCCAGTCCCCTCGGGTGACTGTCAGTGTGCATTTTCACCTTAGTGACATGGTACGTTTGTGGGGTGCTGGCCTTATTTACAGTCTTAGACTGCCTGCTGCAGCCTAAATCTTTCCTCTCCTGTGGATGACAAAGAACTTAGAGATGACCCTAGTGAAGGCTAGCCCCTTGGCCGGGGGTGCGGTACAGGGCTCTCCCCTGTGAATTTTGGGGGGACAGCCGCAGAGAAGAGGCTGGGACCCCAGCAGCACCACAGCACCAGGAGGTACCGTGAGGATCAGGATCCTTGCTGCCCAGCCCCCAACTCCACCTGGCCTACGTCATCATCGTCATCATCCTCCTCCTCATTATCACGGGCTGCTGGGTAGTCAGGCCAGGCTACAGCGGGACCTTCTGGTACCCAACCAGCGTGGCTGCCTTCCTGGCCCTTTGGAGGCCTCTGTCTGAAGTGAGTTTCTCTGGTCTCCAGGACACGCTTCCGTGGCATCTGCAGGTATTGCTCCTTAACTGTCCCATCTGTGAGGAGTCTGTTGCCCCAGCTAGACTGCGAGCCCCTCCCCCTGTGAGCCCCTCCTAAATTCTTGCTGGTGTAAGGGAGACTAAGGTGGGAACCAGGTGGAACGGATTCCATAAGCCAACGGTCCCTGGCCCTGAACCGACTATAGAACCGACTCTCCAGGGGTCTTTTAAAAGTACCAAGGCAGCCGGGCGGTGGTGGCGCACGCCTTTAATCCCAGCACTCGGGAGGCAGAGCCAGGCGGATCTCTGTGAGTTCAAGGCCAGCCTGGGCTACCAAGTGAGTTCCAGGAAAAGGCACAAAGCTACACAGAGAAACCCTGTCTCGAAAAACCAAAAAAAAAAAAAAAGTACCAATGCTTGGGCCTCAGCCCGGGGGTGAGGGTGAGATTTAATGGTGTGGGAATGCAGCCTGGCAGTAGAAACACTGAGAAGTCTCTTAGGACTCCCCAAGAGGGGAAGCTCGCATCCTCTCAACTCCAGGGCCCCTGGGCCAGTGCCATGCTGGAGAAAGAGCTCCACTTCTTCCTCCTTAGGGTTCCCACCCCACCCTAAACCTGCTCCCCCACATCTGTCCATTGTCCTGACTGTTCTGTTATGGTAACTCTGTATCTCAGAGCCAGACACAGGAAAGGTTCACAGTATGCATTGGTCCCATCCATATTCCAGAATCTTCCCTGTGGTGAGAGCAGCCATGCCTGAGGAGGTGTGGCCTGAGATCACAAAGCCTGTCTGCTAAGAAGCCTACCCTTGTGTGTGAGTGTGTAAGGCTGGGGTGTGCACGTCTATGTGAGGCCGTGGTGTGCAGGAGCTGTGATGTCAATGTGCGTGTGTACTGGAAGCACTTAGATGTGTGTAGGGCTGAGAACCTAATTATAGCTGTAGGGTAGGAACTGTGTGCACACGGATGCCTGTGATTCAGCATTCCTGTATGTATCCCTTGTGGGTCAGTGTTGGGACAGGTGACCTGTGAACACCCCAGTCCCGGGAGACCAGGCTGACGGGATCTAGCGTATCTCTTCAGTGGCAGCCTCACCCTCTGTGTTGAGGGAACTGAGGAAAATTGTGGCCTTAAAACAGGGATCCCAGAGCCAACTCTCAGGGTTCTGGGGCCCTTTTACCCCTGGCCCCTGCAGGTTAGTGTCTGGGGGGGAGAAAGGGATTCTTGGGACCAGGTACTGAATAGCAACCGCAGTCTCAGCTTGACTGTGCTGCTGCTGGGACCGCAGGGAAGCTCCCGGGGTTGCGTCATTCATCTGAAAAGCAAGCCTGCTCCTCCTGGCACATTCCTCCCATCACCCCCCTCCCCTTTCCCAGTCACTGTCTTTCTCCTGTTCTGTGGAAGTACCTGTTCAGGCTAGCAGAGCCAGGATGAGTCTTAGACATGCCGGCCTCTCATGGCGCAGATGCAGAAGCTGGAACGGAGAGGGGCGGGGCCGGTTCAAGCCTTGGAAGTCTAGCTACAGCCCTGGGGGCACCGTGCCATGGCCGCTGCTCCTGGGAACCGCTCACCTGACTGAATAGCCACAGGCGGCTGAGCGGAACTGACCCTTCTCGGGGCGCCATCGATGCTGCTGGGCCTGTCACACACGTGACAGGTGTCACGAGGATTTTTTTGAGAGAGAAACCGTCTCCCTGTCCTATTCTGGCCTCTTCTCCCAGGCCACAGTCACTCCAAGCCCGTGGACAGCACGCTGCCATTCTCTGTCAACACTGGTGGCTGCAGCCACTGCTCCTCCTCCAGGCTCCAGACAGAGGAGACTTTGTTTCCCCACTGCTGTCTGCACAGGAGGCTGGGCTGGGAACCAAGGCTAGCAGATGCTGGTGTCCTCATCCTCCTGACATCCTCCCCAGGACCAGAAAGGCTGCAGAGGACGTGCAGTGTCCTTGGGTTTTCCTCTGCATGGACAGCTCCATGGGGCTGGTGGGGGGTGGGGAGGGGGTGCCCAGGGAATGTCCTAGGAGTGTGATGAGTGAACCTGTGCTTGAGAGTTCCCACAGGCCATTGGCTGAGCTCAGATTCTGGCTGCCTTCTGTTCTGTCAGTGCTGTGTGTGTGCATGTGTGCGTGTGTGTGTGTGTGTGTGTGTGTGTGTGTGTGGTGTGTATGGGCAGAAGGACCACTCTTTTCTGGAGACCTCTTGACCCTTAGCACTGGAAGGGACCTTAGAGGCATCTAACCCGGTGTGCCCATTGTACAGGTGAGAAAGCTGAGGTTCAGAGAGAAGGCACCACCTGCCTATCCCCATCCCTCTCCCTTCCATGTGTGGCCAGCCTTCATTGCCCAGGGGCCCTGTTAGAAATGCTCTCCCTCCTAGCACCTTCTTGCTCTCCATCCAGACACCCCCATTCCCCACCCCCATCTCAGCCCAGTTGGACAGGAGGGGGACGGCTCCAGGGCATCCCCAAGCACCACCACTCCCTGCCCCAGGGCAGCCTGCTCATCAAGTCCTTATCCCCAGCCCATAAGGGACAGGAAAGAGGGGACTGTTCCAGCCCTGGGGCCTCATAGATGGGAGGAAAGCCAACCCCTCCCTATATGCCCGGGCCCATATGTCTGCCCCGCCTACCCTGCTACTGAGGTAAAAGCACAACAGGAGACCCCCACTCACGGGTGACATGCCTTGGGGTCGTCTTGGGTCTCACGACCTTGCCTCACCCCTTCGCCTTGTTCTCTGTCTCCACCCAGCCTCTGTTCCCCCCATTGCCCACCTTTCTCTCTCCCATGAACCCCAAAATGTAACCTCTAGCTGCGGCCGCGGTTGTTTCAATCAATAAAGATGCAGTGTTCTAGAACTCAGGGCCAGCCTGCGTGTGTTGGGCTTCAGGGAGGGAGGGCGAGGTGACAGGCTGGGCAGGGGCAGCCTTGCTTCTCTTTGCCGCCCGTCACCCGTGACCTAGACAGAGGGTACCTATGTCCTGTCCGCCCACAGTGAGTCCTTGTTCCTGTTCCTTCATCACACGGACACAAGCACCATGGTGATGGCACGGAGTCTCCCATCTGGCGGGAGAGGTAGACATGGAGCTCTAAGACTGACGCCAGGAAGTAGATCGTGGAAGCAGGGGGCTGGCGAAGAGAATGGGGGTCCGGGGCTTCGGACATTTAGTTAAGCGTGGAGCATGCTTGCAATCCCAGAACGCAGGAAGCTGAAGCAGGAGGATCTTGAGTTCGAGGCCAGTCTGGCCTACATCAGAATGAATTCATGGCCAACCTGAGCAGTTTAGTGAGACCCTGTCTTTTTTTTTTTTTTTTTTTGAGCTGAGGACCAAACCCAGGGCCTTGTGCTTGCTAGGCAAGCACTCTGCCACTGAGCTAAATCCCCAGCCCCAGAGACCCTGTCTTAAAATAAAATGTTTTTTTAAAAAAAAATAGCATGTGTTGGGGGGGCCGCTGAGAGAAGGTTCAGGTGCAAGACCTCGCACTGCTCTTGCCGAGGACCCAGGTTCAATTCCCAAGCATGGGATGGCTGATAACCACCAGGAACTCTAGCTCCAAGGGATCTGGTGCCCTCTTCTGGACTCTGCGGGCACCTGCACTCACATGTGCACATACTCACACATAGACTCACACATGTGCATAATTAAAAATAATTTTTTAACACTGGGATATAGCGCGGTGATATTTGGGGGCACTTGCCCCAAATCATTACACGCCTGTCTTTCCTATTGTCCAGGTGCCTCAGATTGCTAGGACTTCAGAGCCGCGAGGTCTGTCACAGTCACTTCTGCTTCTTCCTCAGCTCTCCTCAGGAGAAGTGGGCTTGCTGAGGTCACAGGACAGCCAGTGGCGAGGGGAACCCATACTGCTGGGGGTGTTTGAGGGACAACGGCCACATCTGGATGGGTGTCAGGATGGGGACTGTAGTGAGACGGAGCAAGCGGCTGGAAGATTCTGTTTGTTACTTGGTTGCAATGACTGAGGGGGTTAGAGTCACCAGGCCCACGTTTCACACGGGGAAACTGAGGCTGCGCAAGGCAACAAGCTGAGGACTCTCTGCCTAGACCCCTTCTTATGGACACACCTAGCTAGAGACTTATAGCTTGGGTAGTCTGGCTCACAAGGAACTAGAAGATTTAAACTCTCTAGAGATACACACACACACACACACACACACACACACACACACGCACATGCACACGTGCACACACACACACACACACACACACACACACACACACACACACACACACAGAGCAAGAGAGACAGACTCCGAAATACCAACACGAGTTGAGTTGTGACAGAGATGGTGTGCTGTGCTTCATGGGGTTCTGGGTTCAAGGTTGGACTAAGAGCTGAGTCCATCAGCTATAGAAACCTCTAGCTCCTGCTGTGAGGTAAAGATGGCCGGAAATCCCTCCTTCCGTCTCCAGTGGAGAGGCCGAGCCTGACCCCCTTCTCCTCCAGTCTGCACTGGTCTTAGCGATCTTTTTTCACAACTGAATGCGACTTTCCAAGCTGTCCTATCCCAGGGCCACCATGCACCCGACTCTACTGAGACTACCAGGAAGCAGGAAGTCCCCCCACCCCCACCCCCGGCCATCCCAGCTGGGCCTGGCCTGCTAACCATTTCCACCAAAGCGCCAGAAGATGTGGGCGTGGAGCCATTTGGACTCCAGACCGGCCATTACTCCAGCGGGTGCAGCACAGAACACATCTGCCTGAATTTCTGACCAGCTCATCATGGGACATGAGGTAGGGGCTGGTCCACTTGTTACAAGCGCAAGAGTTAACCTGGCCTGAATGATTCGTCATCTGCATCCCACCACACCCCCAACGGAGCGTATCCCACCCACACAGTTCCTCTCCTGACTCATGTCAGCTCCCTCAGAACTTTAGCCAAGCGGGTACCAGGACCTCGGCTCCCTTTCTCCCGCAGGAGCTTCCCGTGGCAGCTGCCAGCATCCACTGACTCAGCCTCTCAAGAGAAGTGGCTGCTGGCCTGACTCCTGTACTGCTGTACATCCAACCGCACACACACACACACACACACACACACACACACACACACACACACACGAGTTGAGTAACCTGTTGACTAGCTGCCCACTGTCATGTACCACCTCTGAGCTAATCAATTGGGCTGAAGGAAGGGGTCATAGGTATACAACATGGCTAACATGCAGGCTGCCATTTTTAGAGAGCTTGTGGGTAGACCCACTTCAAGAGGCAGGGGGCAGGGGGCTCCCATGAGTCCTTTCTTTTCCACCCTTCCTAAAGTGGCCATCCATTCCAGGGTCACTGTTATGTGGTGTGTGCACCACGAAAGTCCTCCGGTTGACCTTGGCCGAGGGCTCCAGGTCTCGATGTCGGGATCCAGGTAGGTGAGGTCACATGCAGAAGCACAAACAGAAGTCTTCTGTTTGCTCTTGTTAACTGATGAGTGAGAGACTCTGAGGAGGGGCAACCTACATGTCTACTGACCTCAGAAAGGGAGCCCTCAACAGACCAAAGAAGCCATTGGACTAAGATCCAATTTGGAGAGGCAATGAGGTTTTTGTTTGTTTTGGGGGGCTACTAACAGGAGTGTGGGCGAGAGGTTACTTGGAGGAGCAGGCATGACTCAGAAGCAGCTGCATCACCAAAAAGCTCTCCTCCAAACTGCTGATGACTCAAGTAAGTTGCAACCTGGGAGTTCTCGGCACAGCGTACAGGCAGCTCCACGGTCCAAGAAAATCTCCCCTCTGCAGCAGCTGGGTCGAGTCTCCCCCGAGATTGTGTGCTGTTTCTATAAAGCTGGCAAGAGCTGTTGAGAATCTTGCAAGTTTCGCTTTTCCCAGACATGCTCCCTCCCTTTCCTCCTGAACCTCATGGGCCTCCCCATCCCTCCTGGAGGGGATGTTCTAGTTCTGAGGAATGGGCCACACAGCTGACTGTTTTAATTCTGTATTGCAGATAAGGACAACCAGGTTCAGAAAGGTGAGGTGGTCACCAAAGTTCGTAAAAATCAGGAGGGGAGGCTCTGGAGAGACATCCAGAAGTTTGGCTTTCAGTACGGAGTTCCTCCTGTTCCTGGTGGCCTGCTCTGTGCTCCCTCCTGGGGACTGCCATATCTTGCTAACCAGCTCATCCCCAGGCGCCCGGGAAGCCAGTCCTTCCCGTGGGGCTTGGGCTCCAGCCTCTGCGTTGATGGAACTGTCCCCGCTCCTGCTTTTCTTTTTCTAGCATCCTGACCTTTTTGCATACGTCCTTTGTTGAAAGCTCCACTCACACCTTTTTTAGAAAGAGGCTGAGTAAAAATAAATCCAAGGAAAAAGCCGACACACTTCTCCTTGAAGTCACCCCAAACCCAGGCAGAGGCCTCCCTCCAGCCGGCTTCTCACACCTCCAGCTTCCAGATCCATCTTTCCTGGGCATGCAGCCTGTCAGCACCCAGTGTGGCTTCCTGCCCTGAGGTCAACTTGGCAGCTCCCTCAGATGCAAATCCCTGATCCATCATCATCCGGACTCTTCAGCTGTTCAGATCTTCTCTAAAGATGGCGGGGGTGGGGAGTGGGGTCTTCCTGCTCCTCTCAGTTACCCTGTGGCCAGTCGGAGCTCAGGTGCATGGATTCTGCACTTAGGAGCCTCACCCAGTTGTGCCAGCTGCACTGAGCAGGGCTCTGCCCTCAGATCTTATCCCTCACGGCCATCCAGCTACACTCACTCTCACCTGAGAGATGGGGAGAAAAGAGTTGAACATGAATGGGGGGGGGGGGCCGGGGTGCTGAGAGGGCAGCGCCAGTACAGTGGGTATTCTCTGGTCAGAAGCATCCGAAATATAGAAATGAGAGAGAATGGCCAATTGGAAAACAGCATGCTGATTACCACTTCATTCATGTGTGTAAATGTGTTCATGTGTATGCAGGTGCACACGTGTGTGTTGCTACGTGGGTGGGTGGGTGTGCGAGGCCAGAGGACGGCCTCGGGTGTCATTCCTCATGTACTGTCCACTGGTTTGGTTTGGTTTTGAAGATAGGAGCCTGCCCAGAAGGCTAGGTTGGATGGCCAGAGAGCTTAAGAAGTCCTCCTGTCTCTGCCTCCCCGGTGAGAGGGTCACAAACTCATGTCAGCACACGAGGCTGCTGTCACCTGTCTTCTGGGGAGTGAACTCACGTCCTCAGGGTTGAAGAACAGGTACTTAACTCAGCCATCTCCCCAGCTATCATCTCATGTTTATACAAAAATATCTGTGGTGCTGCGTGTGTGTGTGTGTGTGTGTGTGTGTGTGTGTGTGTGTGTGTGTGTGTGTGTCCCAAGTCCTAAGACTCTTCCCTGGCATGTGAACACTGGTTCTCACAATGGTGAAAATTCAGAGACCCTGAGTCAGCCCTAGGCCTTCTGCATTATCTGAACACTTCTAAATGAACATGTATGATTTTTAATAACCAAGAAGAAAGTCTTATTTCCCTGAGAAAACAAAAGTCAGAAGTCATCAAGGACTATAGATTAAAAAGTAAAGGTCACCTTCTGTTCTTCATATTATTTCCATAGCTTAGACATCTCAGAGTTTGGGAAGAGGCTTTGAAATGAGATCTTTTCTTCCTAATTTATTCAAAGAAAAAATACTCATGCAATTGGGAGGGAAGACCAGAAGAAGGGGTATGAGCCAGGTGTTTAATTAATTAATTAACTAATTAATTGTCTGTGTGTATACATATGAGCACAACATGCATGTGGAGATCAGAGGACACCTCTTGGATCAGTCTCCCCTTCCATCATGTGGGATCTGGGGATTGAACTCGGGTCATCACGCTTGGTGGCAAGAACCTTTACGCTCTGAGCCGTCTCATAAACCCCCTTGAGCCAAGTAAGAGAAACCTCAGAAGCCACAAATTCCAGGAGAAATACTAACATGCAATGTTATGTCCAAAGTGGCGTGCATGTGTGTGTGAGAGACAGAGGGAATGCAAAGGTGTGCATGTGCATGTATGCACGAACATGGGTGAGTGTAGTAATGTGCATGTATGCACGAACACGGGAGAGTGTATTGCACACCCACCTATGATGCCTGAAGCTGCATTTCCCCTCCAATCAGTTGTAAAGCACGTGAGTAATTAAATACCCTGGGGTGGTGGTTGCTACCATCAGAGGAGCAGCAGCCCGGGAAGGTGTGGTGTGGGGACTGCAGCTCCTACACTTTCCTCACTCTTCATCTTCCTCATCGGCCTCTAGCATCCTCACCCAGAGTTGAGGCCCCAGTAGGGAGACTGAGGTCTGGTGCCTGGGGAGGAAGACAATGATGTGATCAGCCAGGACTCCTGTACCCTGTCACTTCCTCTAAGCCTCCTTGTACCCTCTCTCTTTTGGCTGACGGGTACCACAGCCCTTAGCCCCAAGAAAGGAATGGGAGGTAAGGATCAGTCAGCTGTTACTCTGGCCCACGAGCCCATAAACTGGACCGCCTGGAAACAGAAGAATCGCCCACCATTCTGCTTTCCTGGGAGGCTGTATTAGGCCCCCTCTCCAGACAGGACTCTCGGAGTGAGAAGAGTCGCTTACAGGGAGGTCACACAGCTGTAGAGGCTGCTGCTGGGATTCTGAGTCAGACTTCGTACCCCACCACCTGTCCATCATTCTTTGGATCACTTTATGCCCAAGTAAACAGGCTTTGAATGTAATAGCTGCCCATGTCAGTGGCTCCCTGAAGGGAGAGAAATGGAAATCACATGCTTGCTGATGGGGGAGGGGTCGGGGGGCATCCTGAGGGAGTTTGGGGATCCGAGGAAGGATGGAGAGCTCTTTGGGAACTTGTGTCCAGTCCAGGGAGAAGGAGCGGGTGGGGACAGCAGGTCCTGTGTAGCTCTCTCTGCCAGACTGAAAGGCTAAGAGGGAGGGCTCATGAAACTCACAAGAAAGTTGTAAGAACTCAAAAAAAAAAAAAAGCCGGGCGGTGGTGGCGCACACCTTTAATCCCAGCACTCGGGAGGCAGGTGGATCTCAGTGAGTTCGAGGCCAGCCTGGTCTACAAAGTGAGTTTTAGGATATCCAGGACTGTTATACAGAGAAACCTTGTCTCGAAAAACCAAAACCAAAAAAAAAAAAAAAAGAACTCAGAAAAAAGTGACAATACTCGTGAGGCCCCTATCTACAGTTACATAAACAATGAACGGTACTGGGGAGAGGAGACTCTTCAGTGGAACTGCCTACAAGTTGGGCAGGGAGCTCCTGTGAGCTGTCACCCTTGCTGGGGTGAGCACCTTTGAGTCACCCATGCTCCAGTTCACCACATAAGACTTGGTGGCATCATTTCTTTGATCTGTTGGCTGTGCCCTACCTGGAGTGAACAGATATTTGTCTCCATCTCCCCAGGGACAGTCAATCATACAACAGCAGGCCTTAGGAGGAGATGGGGAAGTTTCCAGAACATTCCAGGCTTCCACACACATTTATTTTGTCTTATCCTGGTAGGAGGATCTTCTTTTCCATCAACCTCATATCACTGTGTAGCTTGGCCAGATGTTATATCAGGTCAAGCTCCCGCCATAGCTTGGGAAGAAAGTCTGTTAGCCCCTCAACTTTCCCATCCTGTACATGGCAGGCTCCATGCCTGCCGCCGACAGAGCTCTTGCGGCCCACTGCTGGCCTCCGCCTCAAGAGGTTCAGAGAGGGTATCAGGATTTCCTGGAGGAAGACTGGAGAGAGGAGGCCTAGACAAAGACTGGACCCTGAAGGAGTGATATGCACTAAGTTACTTGTCTGGTGTGAAGATGGCTGACTGGTCCCTCAAGGCCCAATTTCCTGTGAATTAGGAAAGAGTCTATAAACTTAAGGATTATTCCTGTTCAAGTGATCAATGAAAGGAGAGAGTGGGGTATTCCTAAGGAATGCTAAGAAAGAGAAGGGACGCTGTAGTTGGTTTTTATTTTTATTTCTTTAACTCTTTGGGGCCCTCCATCCAGCTCCCAAATAAATACATAGAGACTTATTCTTACTTATAAATGCCCGGCCTTAGCTTGGCTTGTTTCTAACCATCTTTTCTAACTTAAATTATCTCATTTCTCTTTAACTATGTTTTGCCTCTAGGCTTTTTGCCTTTATTTTTATATCTTTCTTTCCTCCTTACTCCGTGGCTGGCTGAGTGGCTGGCCCCTGGCTTCCTCCTCTCCTTCTCCTTTTCTTGTTCCTCCCTCTTCTCTCTCAAGCCTGGATTTCTCCTCCTATTTATTCTTTCTGCCTGGCAGCCCTGCCTAGCTTTCTCCTGACTCACTATTGGTCGCTCAGCTCTTTATTAGACCATCAGGTGTTTCAGACAGGCACAGTAACACAGCTTCACAGAGTTAAACAAATGCAACATCGAAGAAGAATGCAACACATCTTTGCATTGTTAAACAAATCTTCCACAGCATAAACAAATGTAACACATCTTAAACTAATATTCCACAACAGGACACCTACTAAAGGTCCAGGAGAACCCCAACATTCATCTCTGTTTCTATTGATATAGCTGAACCTGTTGTCTCCACCCCCATGCTGGGGAGCCCCACTACCCAGGCCTAGGTGGGATACAATTGACCTCCTCCTTCTTCCCACAATCATCCCCTGAAGTGGACCCCACCCTCACTGGTAGGAGGGCAGGTGACTGGACCCAGGGCTTCAGCTGAATTGGTCCAGTGGGAAGGGGGGAGTGGAAGGGGGAAGTGGAGAGGGGGGAATGGAAAGAGGGAGTAGAGACGGGGGAGTAGAGGAGGGAGTGGAAGGGGGGAGTGGAGAGGGGGGATATGGGCCAGAGCAACCAACAGAGTGAAGCTCTGCACTAATCAGGCTTGAGCTCTGGGCTCTGGGCCCGGGGCGGGTATCTGACTCACGCCAGCAGCATCAGGCTAGAGAGGAACAGCCGCCAGAGATCCATCCGGCTGGGGCCTGAGGCAGTGGACCTTGGTGGAGAGGGATTGTAAGGGTTCCTCCGGCTAAGGCAGATATGCCTTCATGATGTCCCAGGGGCAGCAGGCCCTCTGTCCTGAGTGTGTGAGAGGCCTGGATCCTGAAGGTCATTGACCTTGCCCTGGACTCGTTCTTGGAGAAGAAAACAGGATGGGGCTGGGTAGGGTCCATCCTGGGACCCAGTGATGCATGCCAGGCTCACTGCTGTGCCAGGTGGCCTCCAAGCTCCCACCACACTCCCTCCAACCTTCTGCATCCTGAAGATGCTGCAGTCTAGGGCCTGGACTCTGGGAGAATGGTCAGGAGCCTTGCCCTGCCCCTGAATATGCCAGAGGACTCTGAGGAACTCCGGATTGCAGTTCCTGACTCACTCTGTGGAGACCATGATTCTTCCTCGAGATCAATCTCCAATCCAATTTTGGAAACACAGCAGGACAGATAGTAAGGATCAAAAGACACTTGCTGATGGGTAAGTGATTCGGGGGAGTAGCTATGTCCTCAAAATACTCGGGACTCATTATAACTGAGGGAAGGCTCCAAATACAGTATGGGAGATTACAGAGGTGTGTCTTCCGCCCACAGGCCAGGGTGTGCTGAGATCAAACTGTCTCCCTCAGACTGTAGCTCCCTGAAGACTGGCCATGTCCCCCTGGAGCCCTCTGAGGACAGGCCATGTTACCCTCAGCCTGGGTATCTCTGAGGACAATCCGCCAGGGGCTCCCTAATGCCACATCTCCCTCAGATTGAGGATGTGTCTCCCCCAGATTGGGGTCTCCTGAGGATGGGCCATGTCCTCCCCAGAATGAGTCATATCTCCTTGGGGGCCCCCCAAGGACAGGCCATGTTACCCTCAGACTGGGAACCTCGGAGGACAATCTGTGTCCCTTTCGGACTGATGCTCCTGCACGAAACATCTTCTGTGTGCCTTTCAGATGTAGAACATTCTCTTGGGCTCCGGCGTGCGATGCTGGGTAAAGCCTTGTTCTCGCATTCCCCCACCCCCGCCCCCCTCTCCGGAGCACTGGCTGTGGCAGTACTGCAGATGGCATCTCCTAATGCTCGTGGGTGTTTAAGCGCCCTGGGAGTAAAGTTTAGCCTCATTACAGCTTGTTTGAGAGAAGAGCCAATTAGAGAGGCAATTTTCCTTGAGCAGTCTGAAGAATGTGTTGATATGCTAGCCGGTCGGATGGGAAGCCGGTAACCTTCGTCATCTCTGTAGGCCTAATGGTGGCCCTGACTGCTCCCTCACACACCTCTAGGAGTCTCCTAGCCACTGGATTTGGGCCGATGGTAGGAGAGGAACCTTGAGTCCCAGGCCTCCTGAGACCTCTGGTCTCCAGAGGTTACCCTGACCCATCTCTCTCCATTAACTTCACACAGGCTTCTTTCATCCTGGTGTGTTCCTTGCCGTGGGGAAACCTCACTGCTAATTACCTTCTTTGGGGCTAAATGTCTTTCTATTGAATTATTTGTGATGAAGGAAGATGGGAAGTGCCCTTAGGAAGAAGTCGGAGCCCCCTCCCCCACTTCACTGTCCCATCCAGGAAGTTCTGTGCCTTCTGTCGTGGGCAGATGGAGGGAAGACGCTGTTCCAAAGCTCAGTGTTGGCCAGGGTACTCTGAAAAGCAAATGAAAGGAGCCTGACTGGAGCCACCGAGGTAACACAGAGGGAAGGACTCCAGGTCTCTCAGAATCAAAGCCGGGGGAGGGGAGTGAAGCTGGAGCCCAGAGCTCTGCACAAACCAGAAGTTGCTCACTCTTCTCTGGCTTTTGAATTAGTGTGATCTCTAGGCCCCTCTCCCTCACAAGGCAGCCACCTCTCCTCTCTGCCTCTCCACTCACAGCCTTTCCACTCCCAGGGAAGAATGCTGATTGGCCCAACTTTGGGCACCTGATCATACCTCAGGGGGTGGGGATCCCTGAGAAAGGCCCCATGCTGGAATCAGAGCTAGCCTGGTGAGTCCATGCCAGGGAGAGGAGAGCCTGGAAGGACGGCAGGGTGGCCATCCATCATGGGGACAGGTGCCTGCCATCCTGTCACACAATGCATCTTGAAACAGGCACTAAAAAGTCCTTGTCACTATCACCATGATTTATAGGCGAGGCAGCCAGGACTCAGAAAGTTGAAGAGCTTTGCCTAAATGAGAGAGCCAGGACTTGAACCTCAAAACTTTGGGCAACAGGAGTTGGGGAAAGAGGAAGGCATAGTCCATCTGATGCGATAAAGCTTGGGCACAGGACATGGAACTCCCAAACCCAGGCAATCGGCACACAGGATCTGAAGCTGAGTGCGCAGAGCTCACAAGGCTGCTAGAGCTGAGCAGGGCCCCTCAGGACTCGGTGTGGCTTAAATCTGAAGTGTCCCCCATGTGCTCTTGGTCCTCAGAGGGTGGCTCTGTTTGGGAAGGCTGTGCAACCTTTAGAAGGTCGAGCATGGCTGGAGGAAGTAGATCACTGGGCACCATGGGCCTCTATTTCCTGTTTGCTCTCAGCTTGCTGATGGCGGACAGTGTGACCGGCTACCTCTCCCTTCTGCTGCCTTGATGGAGTGTATTCCTTCTCCAACCTCGGACCAAAGTAAGTCTACCCTTTTTTTTTTCAGATTTATTTTGTGTGCATGAGTTCTTTGTCTGCATGTATGTCTGTGCATAACATGCATGCCTGGTACTTAAGGAAGTGGTAAGCCTCTATGTGGGTGCTGGGAATCGAACCTGGGTCCTTTGCAAGAACAACAAATGCTCTTCACCACTGAGCAGACTCTCCAGCCCAAGCCTGACCTTCTTGAGGTTATGGTTAAAGCAATGAACACAGCCGGCAGGCTTCCTAGAGGAGGCAACATCTGCAAACAGCTGGAATCGGGCTGGTGCACCACAAGGATAAACGGGAAGGGAAGGGTAGGCTCCCAGAGCATCCTGACCAGTAACCACAGTGGGAGGTTGGGCAGCTAGGGCCAGAAAGGTGGACATGGAAACCATAAGCAGGGTTGGACTTCACAGTGCTGGCACAAGGGTGTTGGGGAATATTATTTTCAGGTGTGTTACTTTTCTTTATGTTGCATTTGCTTAACTCTGTGAAGCTGTGTTACTGTGACTGTCTAAAACACCCGATGGATCTAATAAAGAACTGAATGGCCAATAGCAAGGCAGGAGAAAGGATAGGCGGGGCTGGCAGGCAGAGAGAATATATAGAAAAAAACTGGGAGGAACAAGGAAAGTAGCCAGAGAAGGAGGAGGACTTCAGGGGCCAGCCACCCAGCTACACAGCCAGACACGAAGTAAGAAATAGAGAAAGGTATACAGAAATAGAGAAAGGTATAAGGTCAAAGGTAAAAGCTAGACATGATAATTTTTTTTTTTTTTTTTTGGTTTTTCGAGACAGGGTTTCTCTGTGTAGCTTTGCGCCTTCCCTGGATCTCGCGCCGTAGACCAGGCTGGCCTCGAACTCACAGAGATCCGCCTGCCTCTGCCTCCCGAGTGCTGGGATTAAAGGCGTGCGCCACCACCGCCCGGCAAGACATGATAATTTAAGAAAAGCTGGCTAGCAACAAGCCAAGCTAAGGCCAGACATTTATAACTAAGAATAAGCCTCTATGTGTGATTTATTTGGGAGCTGGGTGGCAGGCCCCCCAAAAGAGAAAAAAACAATCAACAGCATGAGGACACTGTGCATTTTTAAAAATTAGTTTCTTTAATTTTTGCCAGTGTGTATGTGGGGCCGAGCCTGAAGGTACACACAGGTGCAAGTACCTGCAGAAGCCAGAAGAGGGTGTTGGATCCCCTGGAACTGTGAGCTGCCTGATGTGGGTGTTGGGACCAGAACTCAGGTCCTCTGGAAGAGAAGCCAAGAGCTCCTAACAGCTGAGCCGTCTCTTCAGCACACCCCCTCCGAAATCCTGCAAGCTGTGGGGTTTTAATGGAGGTATTGACAGGAGAGAGAACACTTCCAGAGGGTGAGTCTCAAATGCTTATTGAGCACAACACTCCACAGCCCAGACTAAAAGTAGGGGCAAAGTAGTTGGGGTCAGGCTTTCTGTTGCCCCATCCAAGGCAGAGCAGGGCTCACTACCTTAAGAGAGCTGCATGAACTGCAGAAGTAGGCATACCATGGGTGCTCAGCAAAGAGGGCACCAAAAGCCTGTAGGGGACATTTCAAGTTCAAATCAGAACAAGGAGTGACATTTGATTTACCTGAGCACAAGCGATGTTAGTGCGGTCAGAACTCCTGTGGGTGTGGGTGTGTGTGAACATAGGTGTGTGTGCACATGGAGACCCAAGGTTGATGGCAGAATCATCCTCAAAAGCTCGCTCACTCACAGAGATAGGGTCTCTCAGTCAAACCCAGAGTTCATGGATATAGGTAGTCTTGCTGGCCAGCTTGCTCTGGGACGCCCCTGTCTCCACCTTCCAAGGCTACCACACCCGCCCAGAATTTTATGTGGGTGCTGGGGATTTGAACTCTGGTCCTCACGCTTGCTTTGCAATCGTTTTAACCATTAAGCAATCTTCCCAGCCCTTTGCCACTCTTTGAGAAGACAATTTTGAAGAATGAGCACCTTCTCTGTACCACTGTCATAAAAAAGCAACGTTGTCTGAGTCATCAGTGCGCAGTATGGCTTTCTATATTTTTCGCAAATATGCAAAAGAAGAAGCCAAGACCCTGAGAATTAAGGGGACATGTCCAAGGTCACACAGCCAGAAAACGAGAGAACTTAGTTCTACTTATTTCCTAGAGCCAATGTCTCCAACCCTCAAGCCCTGGGACCCCGCTGGGCATGGACGGATCCCCAGGCAGAGGGTGGGGTGTGGGACTGTGTCTCTACCATTAGACTCACTGATAGGTGTTTCATCCTCCCTTTGCTTTTAGGGGGTCCTTGTTCAGGGTTCAAATCCTTCAGCTCTGCACTGGGTAACAGGAGAGAGAGGCCCTGCATAGGCTGCCTCGGGGGACCTGGGTTCACGCCAGGCACCAGTAGCTTCCTGGGCATCTCTCAGAGGCGACTCCACAGCAGCGGACAGCCTGCTAATTAGGACACGCTCTTTATGACTTTGTATTCCAAGATGTCATTTACTAGACTCGGGGTTGGGGGGGGTGGGAGTGGAGAAGACATACACAGTTGTTTTTAATTACATTTGGTTTGCTAATTTCTGATAGAAAATAAATATTTACCGAGAGCCATATTTCTTCATTTCACGCCGGCTGACTCTCAGAGTTTATCGGGTGCCCAAACAGGCACGCCCGCTCACCTCCCCCCTCGAGTCCCCACCCCCTTGCTGGAGTCACACTCTAGAGCCTGAAGAAGTGGGTAGGGAGGGGGAGAGAGGGGGGAAATAGAAAGGTGGAGACGGGTCAAGTTCAAGTGTGGACAGTACCATGAGTCTGAGGCCGTGGAGATGAGGCCTCCTTCCCAGTCTCTTGTGTGGTGGCCGTAGCAGAGAGGTCGGAAGGCAGGGTGGCCTCAGCCCTGACATGTCTTCCCAGGTCTGTCCACACAATGGGCCACCTCGAAGGATGTGCAGTCTGCCATGTGCTAGGATGCACTCACTCTGGCTTCAAGGTGGTCCTTCTGAGGACCAGGCTCATGACGGGTGGACGGAGTTTAAAAAGTGGTTTTGTCAACTTTCTTCAAATGACCTTTGCAAGGCAATAGGAGGAGAGAGCACAGGGGGAGAGGGAAGGTCTGGGGGAGGGGAGCACCTTGTTGGGGGCGGGGCGTAGGATGTGGCTAAAGAACAAAACAGACACTTCTGTGTGGTTATGTGTTCAAAGGCACATGTGTATGCAGCTAAGTCTACACATGGGCTTGTAGAGGTGAAGGCTGCTGGTCAATTCTTCCAGAACCACTCACCTTGTGTTTTGCTTTTAAATTGTGTGAGTGAGTGCTTACGTACACTAGAGTCCAGAAGAGGCCACTGGATCCCCTGGAGAAGGAGTTACAGGCTGTGTGAGCCACCTTGTAGGTACTGGGAACTGAACTTGGGTCCTCGGCAAGTGCGGTAAAGTGATGCCTATCCCTTCTCCTGAGGTCCCGATGACAAACTCCACCAAAGTTCACCCTGGAGAACCAACGAATTGATTGGGCTTCCTTGCAAAACCTAGATGAGGGGTTAGTTACAGGGATGTGGGCACTCCCTCCTAACTGGCTGCACCTGGAGAGCCTACCCACCAGATGAGAGCTTTCTTGAAACTGCGTAAATGGAGTTCTGTCCTGGGCCTTCTATATGAGCTATCCCTGCCTTCAGGCCACTTGCCAGGTAGTAAGGAGCAGCTGGGTACTTATGGAGGTGGGGAGGGTAAGGAGGCGTGGGAGGTGAAGGGGGGGGTGTAAACTGCCACCCAGCCTTGCTGAGATGATCTTTTGCAAGGGGGCCCCGCTGAACCCCTCAAGCTGTTGGTTTCTTGGCTCAGAGGACAGCACTCAGAACACTTAACCCACTGAATGCTCTCTCCAGGTTCCCACCTCATGTTCTGAGACAGGATCTCTCACTGAAACCTAGGGCTTGGCCCCAGGGATCCTGTCACCATGTCCCCAGCACTGGGACTACAACCAAGCATCACTATACCTGTCTTTTTATGTGGCTTCTGGGGCTTGAACTCAAGTCCTCATGCAATTTACCAACTGAAGCAACACCCCACCCCGCTCCCCACGCCGCCCCCACAGCCCTACACTCTTCCCTCTACCGAGCATTGTGGTCTTGGGGCTGATGCCCATCTTGGTGCTGTACAGAGGGACTAGGCCCCGTAACTAGCTGAGGTAGAGCAGGCTTTAAATCTCAGCAGGACTTATCCAGACTGTCCTGGTACATGCGCTGTCTGGTGGCACCCTGGCGTCTTCACACACACACACACACACACACACACACACACACACACACACACACACACACACACCTTCACGATAGCCTAAGTTGCCTGTGGACAGAGTCAGATGTCCTAAGCCCTTGTGTGCCTAGGGGGCCCTCACTGAGAAGCACTGTTTGAATAGCCAGGTAGGGAGGGGAAGGGAGGAGCCTAGGGGAGACTGGGAAGAGCCTGGCGGCTGAGAGCAGTCTCAATGGTGCCCCCAAAGGGATAGGGGAAGAGATAAGGAGAGCTGAGGGCAGTAGAGTAGAGAGGTCCCTGCCCCCAGCCTGATTTCCAAATCCATGGTAAGCCAAGGCTGTTTTTTTTTTTTTCCAATTACATTTCAATTTAGCTCAATTACTTTTCCATTATTGTTCAAGCGACTCGGTTTTAATTGAAGCTGGTGGTTCTTATCTTCCTCACCCCCCCCCCACTACATACAAGGGAGGAAGGGGAGGAGGGGGAAGAGGAGAGTCGGGAGGGAGACCTACGAGCTGTGGTCCCTTTAGGTGAAAGGTCAAGGCTCACCTGGAGCTTTGGGACACCCCCTGAGTGGCCAAAATAAATCTGCACAGTGACAGGGAGAGACGCAAAGAAGCAAAGTTTGTTGGCCAACTCTGACCAGTACAGTGGGCCAGTCCTATGCCTGGTTTCAGTCCCTGTGGTTTAGAACTGTGGTCTAAAAATATTCACCTGGACTCCTTCAGGAGGGAGCCGCTGGGCTCCAGGACTTTTATTGTGATGTGTCGTTACAATTGTTTTATTTACGATGGTGCATCCCTTCTGTGCCTCCTTCATAAACCCAACTTTATGGTAGTGGGCATGCGCATGTGGGGATACCTGTCCCGGCTTTCAGGGGCCTGAAATGGATTCTGGATGATCCCAGGAGACTTTGGGACCAGACATGGTTACAGCCAAGATTCATTTAATCCTTAGCACAAGCCCACGTGGTGCTTTACAGAGGAGAAAACTGGAGCCCAGAGAAGTGAAGGGATTGGTCCTGAGTCTGACAAAGGAGAAATTGCAGAGGTGGAGGGTATCTCAGCCATGTGGGTCTGAAGCTTGGGTACTACCCCCAGAGCCCTGTATTACACACACAATATTACACCAACTTGCTTTTCCAAACCCCAGCTCCCTGACGCTCCTCCACTTCCAGAGTCTGTTCCTATTAGCTCTCCTCCTCCTCCTCCTCCTCCTCCTCCTCCTCCTCCTCCTCCTCCTCCATTCTTCCTTTCCTCCTCTCTTCAGGGAAATAAAGCTTTGGGGTTGGACGGATCTGAATGAAATGACCTGCAAACTGCAATTCAAGCTCTGAGAGTCTCCATGTCCTTCTTAACTAGATATGAACAACGTCCCCTTCCTGGGGACGGGGCTCCGAGGACAGAACTAATGAGATGAAGGATATTGGGAACCTTCCCCTGCATCATGTTGACCCCGGCACCCAACCACAGCAGAGTTAACCTCCCCGCTTATCAAATCAAACCAGTGAGTCCAGAGATGTGCTCACACCGCAGGGCGAAGGTGCAGAGCCTGACTCTGGGGTCCACGTCTCTCTGAGTCACTTTTCTATCGCTGTGACCGGACACCACGGCAAAGGCAACTTATGGAAGACTTTATTGGGGGTTCACAGTTTCAGAAGGTGAGTCCGTGATCATTACCGCAGAGAGCATGGCGGCAGGCAGAGAGGCATGGTGCTGGAGCAGTAGCTGGGAACTTACAGCCGTATCCAAAAATAGGAGGCAGAGAAGCTAACCCGGACTGGCAGGGAATTTTGAAACCCACGCCCAGTGTGACATGCCTTCTCCAACAAGATCACACCTCCTAATCCTTCCCATACAGTTTCACCAGGGGCAGGACCAAGCATTCAAATTCATGAGCCTACGGGAGGGGGTCATTCTCCTGTGAACCAGCATACCTCCTAACCTTAAATGCCCCCAGCCCTACAGCAGAGGAGGTAAGGGGGGACGTGTAAGTGACTGTCAACTTTGTGAGCCCTTGGGGTAAGCGTATACCTGTGTGCTTCCTCTTTCCACCCTTTGCTTGTTCTGCCCGGTGGAGCTGGAGAGGACCCTGTGACCCTGAGGTGGGTGAGTGGTTAGTAAGCCTCTGGCCCTGTGGCTATGAGGCATACACGTGTTTCTCAAATGAAAGATGCCGTCTACTAGAAATAATGAAATATTAAGCCAAAAAGGCGCTTTAAATGTTTTTTTTTTTCAAGTAGCAAAGCCTGGAGGTGGGTAGTAATGGTGGTTTGAATGAGAATGGACCCTATAAGATTGCTTATTGCTTTTATAGCAGACCTGGGCTCAATTCCCAGCCCCCGCATGGCAGCTAACTATCACCGAGAAGTTCTAGGCTGTATAGTAGGTTGAAGGCTAGCTGGGATACATACGAGGTGTCTGAAAAGAAATGAAGTCAGGTGTGGGGGCACACACCTTCAATCCTAGCAGTTGAGGGCAGAGACAGGTTAAAGTCTGTGAATTCAAGGCCAGCCTAGACTACATATCAAGTTTCTAGTTGGCTCTGTACGGATACACTGTCTCTGTCAAACAATCAATCAGTCAATCAATCAATGCCTAATTACCAAAATGCATGCAGAAAATAAATGAGCAGCCCAACCCTGTATCTCTTAAGTAAATTAAAATTATTTTAAAAACTGAAATACCTCGGCAGTATGGTTTCTCAGGTGAATCTTACCAAACATTAAAAGAGTATATTTATCCTACAATCTCTTCCTAAAAGCAGGAGAGATGGGAATACATCGCAACTAATCTGAGATTGCCTCTATTTTTTTTCTTTCTTTTTTTTTTTTTTCTTTTGGTTTTTTCCGAGACAGGGTTTCTCTGTGTAGTTTTGGTGCCTGTCCTGGATCTCACTCTGTAGCCCAGGCTGGCCTCAAACTCACAGAGATCTGCCTGGCTCTGCCTCCCAAGTCCTGGGATTAAAGGCGTGCACCACCGCCGCCCAGCTCGCCTCTATTTTTAAATAGGAGAAAGACAGGAGAAGAAACCTGCAGAACGCCATTCCTCAGGAATCTAACAACTAAAATATTATGCAAAATACTAGGCAGGTGACTGCATCAGTACACAGAGAGAATTACACACCACGGCCGAATGGGGCTCATCCCAGGAATGTCAGGCTGGTTCAATATTCAAAAGTCAATCAATGTAATCCATCACATTAACAGCCCACATTCTCCTCTCAAACGGAGATAATAAGCACGTGTTGCTGTAAGCTGCTGGGCTGTGTGACAGTT